ATGACGTCACCCGAAGACGTCATCAAAAAGTCCAGCTCTTAGGCGTGTCCTTATGTTTGTAGGTTGTAGGTTGGTAGGTTGTAGGTAAATAGGTAAGGTTAGGTCAGGTTTGATTATGTTTTTTCTTTTATTTCCAAGACATATAAGTATCATTTTTGGATTCAGGATGTCCAATAATGTAAGAATATGAAAACTTTATCTTTTAACAGTCACTCGAACTCAATCCCTGTTGCCTGTGCTCCGAAATGATAAATTAAAAATATTTTTATTTTTATTTAAATGTCTCCACATATGCTGATTCTAGGACCATGAATGATGTGCTTGATGTTCTGCTTTCAAAGTATCCCTCTCCATTTGTCTTATATTCTTCCCATATCATACATTCACCAAACACCAAAACTAACACAAAGAATGTGGCCAGTCAGCTGTCAGGACCTCAGCATGCCCTATGACACCAAGCTGCAAAATTTGGCTGGGCAGTCGACAAGCCAGGCTGCCGCTTAGCCACCAGCCACAAGGACAGTGCTGTATCAGCCTGCATGGAAAGGAACAGGATTTACCCTTCAAAACAGTGAGGACCTTCAGAAATACCTAAAGCATTAATGAAAATGTACCACTTTTAACATGGGGTTTTGAAATGGAATAGCAGTTTTGTAGCTTGAACTGAGACTAGCACAATTTTCAAGCTTTTTACACTCCAATGATCACCCTAGCCAAATATATATCAATTTTAGTTCCACAAGGTACAAGGGAATCATTCCCTTATGTTAGAATGTAGTGCCTCATGGAAGAATGCAAAGAATGCAGTCATTTCTGGCAGAGGCAAATCATCACCCAATCAGCATGCTGTTGGTTTTGACTTTTGAGCCATGCAACATGTGAGTTAGAAGCTTCCACTGCAAACACTATTTAGCCTCTACTAAAGATGGAAATTCTTCTTCTGTATGAAAATATTTTAAAATTCCTTTGCCTAATAGTTATTATTTTCTTTTCTGATCATTTGAGGCAAAAAAAAATCATACAACTGAAGCAAAAATTCATTTGAAGAAAGTGGTATAGTTCCCTAGACCAGGGTTTTGGGGTAGGTACCTACATACATTTGCTTATTGTCCCTTGCAAGGAGATAAAAACAGGATCATTGTTTGATCCTGCCATCATAGCCTGATTCCTTACTGGGTGTTCATTACATTACCTATTTGACATTCTAATTAGGTGTGTTGTAAGCTGTCAGGCGACCCCCAGTAATAATTCAGAACAGTACCACCAGAACAGTAGTTGGCCAGTGCCAGTAGCACAGCCCTGTGCAAAATCTATGTGCACAATAAATGCACACCACACCAAGGAAAATCTGCACTTATCTGCACTGAGTGACCAATATGCTGCAAGGAGCTGCTGTCAACTTTGTCATACATACTTTCCACCTGAGTATTGCTGACAACTCCTTAATTGGTGAACTAAACTAAGCCCAAGTGGGATCATGCTGCCTTAACTGGTGAGAGGAGACCTGTCACCTGACCCAGACTAAAGAATGGCCCTGCAAGCTGAAACAGCCATGGAAAGGTATAGCTTTACAAACAGGAAAATCACAGATGAGTCACATGGCCAAAGTTGTGGCGGAATCTATGTCCAGTGGTGAATTGGTAGGCATCAGGCCAGGCATCATGTCAGTTTAATTATGGGAAGAAAAGCATAGTGAACACAGCATCCATAGTTCTGTTTCCAAACTCTCTGTCCAATTCACTCAATGATGATGTTCGGTCTGAAGCCACTGCTGGCAATGCTGGTGGCAGAGTGGAAGCAAAGTGACTGGATTTTGACAATTTCTAGCTCCGTTCAGATCAATGAAGCATGAGCCAAATGCTGAATCCAGGGGCATCCACCATCCATGGCAGGTGGCAAGTGCTCTTCAGATGCTCAATTTCAGTGACAAGTCTTATTCTCAGATGTTTGTTTCTGCCAAAAGGGCTATATTTAGGTCATGACTGCTAAGGAACTGTTAATCCCGTCACCCAGACCATCGAGCATGCCTACAGACCACTGAATTCCTGTTGAAGGAGCATGGTGAGCCTATCAGTCGTGCCTGGTTCTATTCCTCGTGCATCGCGGTCACTTCGCATATTTTTTAATCGGCGTCGGATTTTAACATTTTGTACATTTTGTAGTAAGTGCCGAGTGGCACGGTGGTATCGGCGATAGGTGCGGTGATGAAGGAGCCATGGCCTTTATCAAGTCCTGTCCATGCTAATTTCCCAGCTGGACAGTGCCTTTGTTCGCATTACCACCAGCGCCCACCATTGGTGTCGAACCACTTAAGATTAGAGTGCTTTACTCTAACAAGTACCCTCCCCGAGTGAAAGATGTGAATTCCAGTTGTCATCACTGGCTGACCACCCGTCTTATACGATGCGCAGGCTGTGCTCTCTTCTCAATTGTCTGCGTTTTTCGTTGATTGATCTCGGCTTAGGCCATTGCAGATTACGTTAGACGATACGTCGCCCTCTCAGGCAGATGCTCCTTGCCCAGATTCACTTTCATCCAACAGATGTGATTTACCCGGAGTGATTTACTGAACATTTATTTACTTTTCGTCAGCAGCAGGCGTCTGGTCCACGTCGGGTCTTTTCATTGCTGTCTTACGTAACCAGCACGCTGCTGGCTCTCGCAATGGCAGTACTCGTGAGCTGCTTGTCCACTTAACCGGGACTCGCCATGGGCTGATGTAACGCTACTTTTCCCCACCTCTCGGCCACTTCGACTTTAGTGGTGGCTACCTGGATTTCGAACCCAACACCCGAAAATAAGCAATGAATGATGCGCTAAAGGTAGCGTGGCCAACTCATCACCCGCTTTGCGATCAGCTGATTCTTACTCTGTGATTAGCTGGTTCCCGCTGTGTGGTCAGCTGATTCCAGCTGACTTGTCAGATGAGAACTTACTCGAATTGTTTTGTGTACCGATTTTTTAGGACATTGTTGATTACTGTACTAAGTCTGCCTGGTCGGCTGATTTTCTCGGCAAAGTCAGCTGATGCGGCGGCGCCTTGCTGCCGGCGATGGCTGGGCTGCAGGGTGAGCGTCCTCTGCACGAGACAGAGGTTATAAATAAACAACCGCTGCGACGACGGACCTGCCAACGCTGACGACACAGCTGTGGCCCGCGGCGACGTAACCAAACTGTGGAGAGTGACTGAGGCTGGGAACAGAGGCTGGCCCTGGGAGGAAGAGAGGAAGTATGATCTCACGTAACTGGAAGTGGGTTAAATGTAGATGGAGCTGCAAAATTGGTAACGCTTAGCCGTCTGTTGCTATCGCACAAGATCTGCAATATAAGTTTCACTAATCCTGGCTGTTGTGTCAAGTACTGTGATGCTTGGCGGGCTTAGGGCTTAAGTACTCTAAGCTGAGCACTTGTCGGAAACAAAGAAAGACTTAACACATGCCTCGCAGTGTTTGCAGTGGAGTGGTCGGCTGCAGTGACCCTAACTCGAGTTCACGGCCGTCCACGGTGGCTTTGTGGCCGGCCGTGACTCTACCGGTTTCACGGCTGGTTGGCCTGGCGGTTCTTCTGTGACTCGAACTCAGCTAATCTAACATGCAGCTGCGATCGTGATGTTTGTCGGCGTATCGTCTCCCCACTGCGAGGGCTGATCCCTGGGGATGGTTGCCCATGAGAGGTTCCCGTTTCCGGCAGCTGCCTTCCCACTCCCTGCTGCTTTTCATCCGCTCCCGGCCTGCTTCCGCGTCCCTCTACCGCTTTCCGTCTGAGCAGTAGAGACTGCCCTACAATACAGCCCCTTCATCAGTGATAACCCCACAATACAGCCCCTCCACCCCCCCCCCCCCAAGGTGGTGACGGGAGTTATGATAGTTCTACCTCATAGCTATGTTGAGCCATAGAGCTCTGTGTACCAGCATGCAAAGGTCAATGGGTCTGGGTGAGCTGATGACTTATGTGGTTAAAAAGTGTCGAACAACCAGGAAAGTAGCGGTCGATTGGTCATTTGGTACGGAATACTCATCCAGTGCGGTACCTATAACCATGCAGCAGTGCAGCACGACAGCAGGCATGCTACAATCGATGTGCTGCTAATTGACAGGGGGTCGATTAGTCAAGCCGTATGTTCCAAGCAAATATGCCAATGAGGCAGGAGACGGGACCTCTCATTGTCTATGCCGTAACAAAATAATGATCTTTGCTACACAATGTAGAGCAGGGGCTGATTCGTTAATCGTCTCTTTAGAGCAGCCATAAGTAAGTGAACAAAGCAAAAAAGCATATTATATAACTCATTAATTACTGGTTCTCAAAACAATATAATACTGGTTCTCAAAACAATGGATAAGCACCTCTGATGCCAGCCCCCGTGACCGGTTCGCCTCGCCATTTGTTGGACGCCGTCATCCCAACCCCGCGTCCTATTTGGCTGATTGCCGTGTTTCGTTGACCCCAACCGTGGCGTCAACATGGCCTTGGTGCAGCCTCGCGCCGCTCCCGTCCGCAGTTGGCAGCTGTGCTCTATTGATTGGAGCGGACCGAGCTGGCGCCGACCTCGCCGATCAGCTGACTGAAACCACGTGACGCACTGCACTCCTCTCCACGGGGGGGGGGGGGGGGGAATTCAGCGTGCCGGTCTTGTGGGTTTTGTCAGGCGTCGTAACAGCGTCGGTTTGGCGTCCGTCCTCAATCTCTCACCCCACGTCATCCTTTTCTATCCCATCGCACGGGCTACGACCCACTTCGTCTCCTTTCATCCCAAGCGTCTCCCGTTCCGTCCCATCCCACTGCCCCATCCCACGCCATCCCGACCGGCGCCGGTCGCATCCTTCCCTATCGGCGCTGCCCGGCCCCGGTGCCAGCCGGTTCCCATCCCGTCTGTCTCCCCTCCGTCCGTCCGTTCACGGTGTCCTGTACAGGTGTGTCACCGGGCGCCGGTCCGCTGGCCGTGACCGCTGGCACGGCACCGGCCGGCGCCGACCGCCGTGAGAGTGGCCCGCTCGGCCGGTCGGCAGTCGGTGCCGGTCGGCCTCCGCGTGAGGTGGGAGGGTGTGGGACAGCCGACCGGCCGATCGGGCGGACCCGCGGCGGCTTGGGGCGTGATCGGGAGAGATCGAGACGGATGGATAGACAGACGAAAGATGAAAGTGTTTAGGTCTCGTGCGGATTGCAACAAGAACTGTTTATGCCAGGGTCTGGTATGAGCGTGGTGCGTCACAAGTCAATGTTTTGTGGCCGGCATTTGGATATGTTGCAACGCCGTGTTTTTCCCGAGTGATGACGGTATGCTCTGGTGTTTTGCAGGCAGCAAGGCTACCCTGAGGTCTACTCGGCCTTGAGCTGGACGGGAGTGGTCGCAAGTCCGTCATAAACTGGTCGTGAATGTGTCGTGAATTTACCGTGATTCGACCCTGAGTGGTCCGTGAGTGAGCCGTGAGTGGACCGTGAGTGGGCCGTGAGCCAGTCGTGATTCGTCCGGCCATGGCGGAGGCTGACTACCTAGCCACACCCGTGCACGAGTGGGCCCAGCTGTTCGAGCGGCAGGCGCTCACTACCGAGCTGATTCGGTGAGTACTCGTCTCGAATTGTGCCCTTTGTAGTCGCCCTTAACCCTATTCCTGGCGGGGGGGGGGGGGCCTCAGGAGCCCCCCCCTGAGGTTTTTTGGTTATATCTCCCAAACGCGTTGAGCTAGGAAGCTCAAATTTTCTGACTTTTTCTAAAAGGCTTCTACGCAACATGTCTGAAAATTTTGAGTTGATCTGACCTCAGGTCAGGTCACCAGAGGCGGTTTGGTGACGCTACCTCAGAAAAGTTTGCAATCACGCCAGAGCTAGAGTTTTTGACCGATCAATTTCTTCTCTTCAGGGTTTAGTTAGGGTACCAGTATGTGCAATTTGTTTATCTCGGAATTTTGATATCGGTGACCTAAGGTCAGGTCAATTTCGCGACCTCCCCATTATAAGTCAATGGGGGAAAAATCAACTCCCTGTTTTTACCACTAAAACGGGTCGGAATGGCCCCATATACCATACATGACTTCATATACGATCAACCTTCACTACCTTGAGGTCTGTTTTGCTGTTGGGCAGCTGTGAGGTCATGTGACGTCATCAAAGGTCACCAAAGGTTTTTGGCCAATAACTCCGTACAGGAACAAGATACAGACGCGTGGATGGTCTCATTGTGTTCAGCTCGTCAAGACGCATCGAATGATATACATGATGACCTCGAGGTCACGTGACCTGAGGTCAACCTTTGACCTTGACCTTTCGAGGTCAACATATATATCATTCGATGCGGATTGACGAGAGGATCACGATGATGCCCTTAGTTTGTTCCTATCTTGACTAATTCGAAAGTTATTCGAGAAAAACTCTCTCCATATCTAGTGCCGCCATTTTGACTTTTTCGACCCCTGTGACGTCATCTTTGACCTGACCTGAAAATGACCTTTGTAAAAATTGTAGATCTTGGCCGTGCGTATCCGATGCCGTTTACCGCTTGTCGCTATCTTGCTTCGTTCTCGAGATCTCAGGGGGGGGCCGAATCGGCCCCCCCCCGCCAGTTTCTTGTCCCGGCGGAGCCCGCCAGGAATAGGGTTAAGTACCGTAACTTTCTGTGATTCTGTGGGTGCTATTTGAGAAGTGAACATCGAGACCGGTTCCTGTTAGCTCCTTGTGGTGGGCCATTGATGATGTAGGGTTGTAAGGAAATACCCTCGTTGATAGCATGTTGATAGCATCTCTTACATCACCAGTTTAAGTGGGCAAAGTTCAGTGGTGGAGCAATGGAGCATGTTCCGATTAGGTGGCTGAGGGTCACGTTTAATTACTTTGGAAGCGATTCACCGAAGCGCCCAATCCGTGGCTCGACTTTGGTCGTAGATGACCGCCAGCTGTAGCGTCCGTCGTCTACCCTTACGTGTCCGTAATCTGACCCAATGTAACCGTCATCTACACTTCCATGTCCTTCATATGCCTTTCAGCGTCCGTTATCTAAAATGCCGCGCGTGGCTGCACTCAGCTGTAGTCTATGCAGTGTTCTGTAACTCCTGTAATCACCGCACATGGCTGCAGTGTCCACTGAAATATCTCGGTCTTCCCATTCTAATTGTGACATGAACAGCTTGCACCGCCTTTGGTGAGGTAGCAAGACTAGTGAAAGCAAGGGACAGGATTTGAAGGTAGCTTTGGTTTTGATCGATTGTCAGCCTGCATAGCATTGCCGACATATTTTATCATGCACTTTCGTTGTCGTCATCGCTCTTTCACTCAGTCTAACTAAGGCAGGTCAAGCGTTGAGCAGAGAAGAAAAGACACTGATCTGTTACCTAGTTGTTACCTGGCCAACCATATCTGATAATATTCGTCAGAATCGATAGCTAGTTAGGCCAAAAATAGCTTTGCCCTTCGAATAAAATCGGGGAATGAGAACATATGCGAGAGTGACTAACAAGCGTACCGTGCACCTGAATCCTATAAAACCACCCGGTTGTGACAGCCTTGGATTATAATTTATCCGTAAATGGGCAGGAGTTCCAGGAGGCGCCAGTTTCCTTTTACCCATTTGACGTCACGAGTACACTGGTGTGCGTGTTTTGGCTGGGAGCATCACATGGTGTTCTGTCGCTACTCACTAGTGGTGATTAGTGTAGTTCTACCCTGGTTCTACCTGTGACTGATAACGTGCGATAATCAGCAAACAAGCCGCATTTTGTTGATACATGAGATTCCATTTTTCTATCTCGATTTGTTCTCATTGTTTTCTTGTGTCATGATTTTACCTGGAATGCAAAACTTTGAATACTTTCGGCTTTGCCTTGCGATACCCCTCCCGATGCTGTTATAGACTTTTCTTAGCATGAGGGACAACTCTGAACTCACACGTTTTTTCCGGCAGTGGAAAGTAACGTAGCCCACGGTCCAAGAAACGGTTTTAAGTCAGTCATGATGTTCGTACACCCTGAAAGCGATCATGTATTATTCAAGTTATCTCTGTTACTATTCAATCTGCAAAGGTCATGCTCCGGTCGAGTTTGGAAGGCATTTCTCTCCGGTGTGGAAAGGCAACTCTTTCCAAACTTATGGAAATCAACGTCTAGTCATTGCAAGTGACGAAGTTGAATTACAAACTCAATTTGTATGGCTTTGCCTCCCATCCGTATCTAAAATAGGGCTATATTTCCTATACCCGCTCAATTCTGCCGGCGATTTAATTTATAAAGGGGTAGTGAACAGGCAGGCTGTTGCTAGTTTATATGTTGCTACATAGCACGAGATTGGCACAATGTTTTGTTACAACCTTAATCGGTGTTGCTAATTCATTCTTTGTTTACATGAACAATGTCATCTGAAGTTTCATCGCTGATTCCAGCCTTCCAATACCACGACCACCACGACCTTTGTAAATTCGCACTAAATGAGCGACAAAGTCGCGCTTCATCGTAGATAAACTCGCGCTGCATCGTCGAAGCACCGGCAGTGCTCGATCTGTTTCCGCTCTTCAGACAGCAGCGTCCCCAGATAACAACACCTGGCTCTGAGCGCCCACAAAACCGCCGACGATGGCAGCGAACTGCGCGTTTGGCACGGCCGGCTCCTGAGCTGCGGAACGGAGCCCTGTGCCAGCGGCAGCCCCAGTAGGCACGCTCGCCGCGTCGCTCGCTGGCGCTGCAGAGGGACCGTCGCCGGCGTTGCAGAGAGCGGTGGGGTGGAAGGGGCGACGGAAGATGGGTTACTGTTCTGGGAACGTCGCTGGCGCGTATGTTATGGACAGGCCCGCATGCTAGGGGCGGCTAGGAATGGATCGCATTACAATGGGGGTGGAGCTCGCTGATAGTTTATACCATGACCTGAATTTTTGTCTGAATAGCTGAATCAGCTTGCTTTACGGAAAGCGTCTGGTTTTTGTTACCCCGTGTTCGCCGTAGTTTGATGGGAAAGGACTGAGTAGCGGATATTTTCGTGTCCAGGGTCATAATGAATTTTTTTGTCATTTCTGTGATCAAGGCTTTACGTAACGCTGAATGATGATGCTGGCGTTGCACGTCCTTGAGCGTGGTTTACCTCGCTCCGCGGGCAATGCCGTAGGGGCAAACAGGGATGCAGCTGGACATTTGCCGCCTCTGATGTTCCGTTAAATCTGTTTGTTTTCTCGACTGGTTCGTGGAGTCGTAGTGCTTACGTCAGACGATATCAGGTTCCGTCCGATATACTTCCGTATGATATCGCTGACATTGATCCGGGTTCAATGGATCGATACACTTTAACCCCTACTTCCCTGATCAGCCGCTCCAACTAACACCAACCCCAACCTGACCTTGTCTGGCCCTTACTGACCCCAAATCTAATTCCCACTCACCGACAGACCCCCTAGTGGCCCCGTCGGACCGGGGACCCAATACCGAACCCGCCTGAGGTCTGAGCTCACCGACACTTTCTACCTCCCCCCCCCCCTAACGACCCTTATGACCTGCAACTGACCTCGTGTGACCCCAACCAAACCCGTCTAATAGGTCCCAACTCACAACCCAACGACCTATGTGACCCCGTCTGACCCCTCTGTTGACCTCTCTGTACCCTCAGGGAGTTTTGGAAGGAGTCGGTGCCTCGTCTCACTGTCCCCCCGCCGGCGGCTCCCGTTGAGGAGCAGACAGCGTTCGAGGACCAGCGCCACCGCCTGCTGCTGCGGCCTCTGTCCAGATTCCTCCTGGGAGATGACGCCGTCGACGGAGAGGTGAGGGAGAGAGAGAGAGAGAGAGAGAGAGAGAGAGAGAGAGAGAGAGAGAGAGAGAGGGAGAGAGAGAGAGAGAGAGAGAGAGAGAGAGAGAGAGAGAGAGAGAGGTGAGAGAGACAGACAGACAGACAGACAGACAGACAGACAGACAGACAGACAGACAGACAGACAGACAGACAGACAGACAGACAGACAGACAGACAGACAGACAGACAGACAGACAGACAGACAGACAGACAGACAGACAGACAGACAGACAGACAGACAGACAGACAGACAGACAGACAGACAGACAGACAGACAGACAGACAGACAGACAGACAGACAGACAGACAGACAGACAGACAGACAGACAGACAGACAGACAGACAGACAGACAGACAGACAGACAGACAGACAGACAGACAGACAGACAGACAGACAGACAGACAGACAGACAGACAGACAGACAGACAGACAGACAGACAGACAGACAGACAGACAGACAGACAGACAGACAGACAGACAGACAGACAGACAGACAGACAGACAGACAGACAGACAGACAGACAGACAGACAGACAGACAGACAGACAGACAGACAGACAGACAGACAGACAGACAGACAGACAGACAGACAGACAGACAGACAGACAGACAGACAGACAGACAGACAGACAGACAGACAGACAGACAGACAGACAGACAGACAGACAGACAGACAGACAGACAGACAGACAGACAGACAGACAGACAGACAGACAGACAGACAGACAGACAGACAGACAGACAGACAGACAGACAGACAGACAGACAGACAGACAGACAGACAGACAGACAGACAGACAGACAGACAGACAGACAGACAGACAGACAGACAGACAGACAGACAGACAGACAGACAGACAGACAGACAGACAGACAGACAGACAGACAGACAGACAGACAGACAGACAGACAGACAGACAGACAGACAGACAGACAGACAGACAGACAGACAGACAGACAGACAGACAGACAGACAGACAGACAGACAGACAGACAGACAGACAGACAGACAGACAGACAGACAGACAGACAGACAGACAGACAGACAGACAGACAGACAGACAGACAGACAGACAGACAGACAGACAGACAGACAGACAGACAGACAGACAGACAGACAGACAGACAGACAGACAGACAGACAGACAGACAGACAGACAGACAGACAGACAGACAGACAGACAGACAGACAGACAGACAGACAGACAGACAGACAGACAGACAGACAGACAGACAGACAGACAGACAGACAGACAGACAGACAGACAGACAGACAGACAGACAGACAGACAGACAGACAGACAGACAGACAGACAGACAGACAGACAGACAGACAGACAGACAGACAGACAGACAGACAGACAGACAGACAGACAGACAGACAGACAGACAGACAGACAGACAGACAGACAGACAGACAGACAGACAGACAGACAGACAGACAGACAGACAGACAGACAGACAGACAGACAGACAGACAGACAGACAGACAGACAGACAGACAGACAGACAGACAGACAGACAGACAGACAGACAGACAGACAGACAGACAGACAGACAGACAGACAGACAGACAGACAGACAGACAGACAGACAGACAGACAGACAGACAGACAGACAGACAGACAGACAGACAGACAGACAGACAGACAGACAGACAGACAGACAGACAGACAGACAGACAGACAGACAGACAGACAGACAGACAGACAGACAGACAGACAGACAGACAGACAGACAGACAGACAGACAGACAGACAGACAGACAGACAGACAGACAGACAGACAGACAGACAGACAGACAGACAGACAGACAGACAGACAGACAGACAGACAGACAGACAGACAGACAGACAGACAGACAGACAGACAGACAGACAGACAGACAGACAGACAGACAGACAGACAGACAGACAGACAGACAGACAGACAGACAGACAGACAGACAGACAGACAGACAGACAGACAGACAGACAGACAGACAGACAGACAGACAGACAGACAGACAGACAGACAGACAGACAGACAGACAGACAGACAGACAGACAGACAGACAGACAGACAGACAGACAGACAGACAGACAGACAGACAGACAGACAGACAGACAGACAGACAGACAGACAGACAGACAGACAGACAGACAGACAGACAGACAGACAGACAGACAGACAGACAGACAGACAGACAGACAGACAGACAGACAGACAGACAGACAGACAGACAGACAGACAGACAGACAGACAGACAGACAGACAGACAGACAGACAGACAGACAGACAGACAGACAGACAGACAGACAGACAGACAGACAGACAGACAGACAGACAGACAGACAGACAGACAGACAGACAGACAGACAGACAGACAGACAGACAGACAGACAGACAGACAGACAGACAGACAGACAGACAGAGTGATAGAGATAGAGGAGGGAGTGGGAGAGGATAGAATTTTATAGGGAAGCATAAATAAGGATAAGGCCACGATGCGGTGTTTGAAATGTATGGTTGGCAGCATCAACCTGAGGATTGAGGAACTCAGGGTGATGCAGGAAAAAAAAAACAAGAATATGACGGAAGAAAATTGGAATGTCAAATTATTTGGAGTTCTCGAATGATATATGTGATTCAAATCTTCCATAAAATTATTGGTTTCTTTGCTGATCTCAGTATATCTGGGATTGTCCTGTCCCGCAGCTCAGTTGGTAGAACTTTGGGCTCCCGGTAGTGAGAGCCCTGGTTCGAGTCCCTACGGCGTTCAGTATTTGAGACTCCTGACGGGGGTAGTCAGGAGTCTCAAATAGACGTTGTAGGCATTCGTAACGGTGGCGCGTTTGTACGTTCGTCTGTGCTTACATAGCCCTGCTCGTATCAGTATGGTTGTTGTCGTCATAGGTTACCTAGATTTCACAGATAACACATTCGTACAATGACCCAGTGCTGATTCGATCAAAGTGCAAAGTCAGAATACCGCCATGGGTGCTTTGTCAGTGTCTCGCTCAGAAACAGAGCAGTCCTGGGCAGAAACGTCGCGCGGATGTGGAGACGTAGGTGTTTGTTTCGCTTGTATTTGTTGGATCGAGTCTGTCATTAGGTCAAGGGGAGGCTCGACTGATGAACTTATAATTTTCTGCTAGCCTTCAGTGTTTCAAACAACCCCGTTTCATGACGTTTACGGTGGCGCAGTGCGGTCCCAAAGGTCAGGTATCGACCGACAGGTGCGACACTATCACCTCTGTACACAGTCACGATAGTACCCGTTGAAACCTGATCGGTTCCCAGTACACGGCCTTTGTTGGGCTTAGAGACAGTGTTCGGACTCGGTGGAGAGTCGATCCTTACAATGACGATTTCCGACAGGTTCTTATGTTGATAGCTCCATCATGTCTTGAGTGGGGTATTTCTGCATCAACACCTTTAATTAAACCCGTTGTACACAATGCATAGGTCATGTCAGTGTATTATATCTTTAAGCATCAATAAATCAAAAATTATCCAGTGTTTGAGATATAACTGCACTACTGGACATTTGGAAATAAGTTTAGCTAGGTTAGGAGTCGTTTGAATATGCACAAACGCATAGCAAGTCGCGGCTTAAGCCTATATATATTCTGACTCCAATTATTCAACCCCACCTGTGCTCTAAACTCTTGCTGTTAGCTCACTATGAACCTAGCTATAAGTTCGTGACCTGACCTGTGCCCTGCCCTGCGTCTCGTGCAGGAGTCGGCCCCGCCGCCGTCGCAGGTCTGTGGCAAGGTGTTCAACAACGGCGACCCCACGTACAGCTGCCGCGACTGCGCGCAGGACCCCACCTGTGTGCTGTGCACCGAGTGCTTCCGACAGTCGGTCCACAGATACCATAGGTAGGTCTGTCACAGATGCCATGCGTACACATATACCATAGCTAGGTCCGTCTCCCTCACCCCCCCCCCCCACCCCCGTCACTCTTACCTGTGCTATCTTTGGGTCAGGGATACTACGGATACGCCCAGGACCCCGCCTGACATCAATCTATTAGATTGAATGAACTATGTGTTCAACGACGCTTCGTTTTAACCCAGGCTCGTATACGATTTGGCATTGATCCTCGGCGTTCGGACGTTACTTGCTTATTCGCTCCGCGGTACATGCTATTTATTATTTTATTGCACAGTTGCAGATCGATCGAAAGCCGTCCTGCAGCGAGTAAAGTACTGTGTTTTTGCCATGCCTTATCGTGAGCTCACATATCCAACAATTACTCGCAGAAAAGGCTATAATTCGCCAGTGCAGGCATATCGAATGACCATTATCAAGCTCAGACGCCGATGATCGTTGCATTCGACACGCCTTGAAATCCAAATCGAGCCCATTTTGCAGCCCAGCGCGTCTCAGTAGCCTCATACCGACTCTGACCCCACTGCGCCTCCCTCAGGTATCAGATGTGCGTCTCTCAGGGTAACGGCGGTTTCTGCGACTGCGGCGACTTCGAGGCGTGGAAGGGTGACCCAACGTGTTCCTCGCATAAACCGCCGCCTCCTGAGCAGCGGCCCACAGAGGCTTCCCCGGAGCAGGCCGGCAAGGCGTCCGTGCTCTTCAGTGCTGGTGGGTGACACACCGGAGGGAGGTGCTGGTCCGAGAGGAGAGTCGTCAAACGACTTTGGTAGGGCTGAAACCGCACAGTGGCGGGGAACCCCGTTGTGATACTTGTTATCCTCAGTCGTAAGTCTTGCCAGTTTATGGGAATATGAATACGGTAGCACCGATGATTCTTAGTTGGAATCATTTTATTGAGATATACGAAGGTATTTTTCGAGGGCATTTTACAGCGGACGACTGAAGATCATGATCGAATATATCACAGCAAGTTGATTTATTTTATTACGCTATATACCGCTTTAGCCAGGTGTCTTGACGTCAAAGTAACTGAGCTATTCCGTCATAATGATCTTTCTAGCCCCCCGTCATTTAGCACCCCTCCCACCCCACCATTCCCCCTCCGTCCTCCAGCTATGCAGTACATGCTGAGCGTGTTCGACCGGGACGCCAGCACGCTCAAGATCGTTCCGCTCGAGCTGGACCTGGGTCGAGAACACTACCCTGCACGCAACCAGCGCTACGCCACCATGGCTTACAACTTCGGCGTCACAGCCACGGACAAGGTGGCCGACACGGTGGCTCAGGTGACGCCCTGCTCGCAGGAGGAGGCCAGGGCAGCGGCCACCGCGCTGAAAAAGGAGGGCGCCGCCATACTGCTCTATAATGATATCACGGTTAGTTGGTATGAGGAATGTGGGGGAGGTGCGGGTCACATGAAGGACTGAAGCTTTTTTTGTTATGGGAACAGATCGGTTATATAATCTGTTGTTCCGCCTGATAGCTTGCGTGGTCGTATTTTGACGTGGCTTCTACCAACCCTGCCTCTGTGTTAGATTATATCTGACGACATCTGCCTTTATTCACTCGGTGTTTGACGTCGCTCAGGGACCAAGGCATTGTGTTTGCTGCCACGTGTCACGGAAGAAACATCAAAAGTGTTTTCTACCAACAATAGGTATCGTGTTCGTGCTTCTCGCTAGCATACCATCGTTTATCCTCACATCAATCTATCAATTACCTTTACACCTCAGAATCATGACGCAGTCGCTCCCGCCACCCGTTCCTCCGCCCAGGGTTGTGACGAGCTGCTGAAGCGTCTGAAGCCGGAACAGTCGCGTAAGCTGCGCCGTGCCGAGCTGCACGTGGTTCACGCGCACGTGGCGGCGCACCAGCTGTTCACGCTGCGACTGGTCCGCCACCTGCGGGAGATGCTGGAGCGCCGGCCCACACTGCGGCCTCTGTTCAACACGGTCATGCAGCAGGTCGGTGGGAGGGGTGATGCGGTAGAATGATACTGGGAGGCTAGATGACTTTTGGAGAAGACAGATACTTGACTGAGTTACATTTGCATAGAACTACTGTTACTGAGGAATGAAGGCGGTGAGGACAGTTTGGTTATCTCTGCCCCAACGTCTTATGTTCGCTTTTGAGTTCGAGATGTGCTGAGATTTGTGAATAATTTAGCTACATGTGCATTTTCGTTGCACGATAATTTCATATATAAACGCATTTGGATTTTATTCATGTGATTACGTAACTTCACAATGCGCTGAGCAGAACGACCAACGCATGAGTCACATTTCGGAAGGTGTTTGTCTATTCTGTTGTCGGACCACTCCCCGTTGCAAACTTCCATCTGTGTTTTGTCAGACTGTATCAGCTGATGTCCGGCCTGTCCCTCACCAACATGCGTCTGTTTTTCCCGTAACTCCATGGCCTGTTGGCTGTCTTTGTGTTCCTTCAGACTGTCGGCGGCTCGGAGCTGATGCCTTCCTGTCCTTCTCTCCCCATTGTCTGCCCATCTTGTAACTCCCCGGTCTCTGTTTTCCCTCAGACTGTCGGCGGCTCGGAGCTGATGCCTTCCATGCTGGAGCGTGTGATGGCCTGTGATGGCAGACAGTGGAAACAGGCCAGGCACGAGACGCATCTGCTCCTCATACAGGGCATGCTCATGGACATGGAGTCGAAAAAGTACTTTGCACAGGTGAGCAAAGTATTTTTTATTAAGTGTCGGGAGGTCTGTCTGCTGTCCGACGTAATTCTTACGCGTGATTTATTGGGATATCAAATTGAACGCTGGTTCCGCTAGTGCCTAGCCTGAGCTTAACCCATTCATTTCTGTGAAATTGCACGCGAATTTTCGTGTGCATATGAATAACCTCCCCTCTAGGCTTTCGTTATGAGGGAAGTCATAAAGACGCACTAATGAAAATGGTTTGAGTCAAAGACATCATCGTCGATCAACTATTCTTTTGTGGCACGATCACTAACGCAGACGTGACTTAATTTCGCATCGTTCATCAAAACAGTTCAAAGCTTCACATATCAAAGGCACGGATAATTCACCTGCCACAATTCCATCCCTTTAATTTTTCATCAAGAAGCGAGTGTTTCCATTTTACCGGAAGTGAATTACATCTGCTTTACTTCCTATAACTCCAGCTGTTTGGTTGACATTTACAATTGCACCTGCCCTGCAACTGTTGAAAAACGCCCGATGTCACTGACCAAATGTTCGTAGGGGATTTTCCATTCAGCTGTAATCTGTGAGAAGTTTAGAATTACTGATTTGACGTCGGTGTCGTATTACGGCCTGCTTCGCCAAATCAATAGAGCTGGCTGCAACTGCTATGACGTTTGCGTACCCCTGGTAATTTAATGTTCAGTAACTCGAGAGAAATCCCTGCCTTTATGTTGTTAAACAACACAGCTCGAGGCTGGCTATATGTGATGAAACGAATCTCCGTTCGGTGTTATGAAGCGTAGGTGACTGACGCGAGTCAGTGAAATTCCCTCTTGTTCAAATTGTAGGTGTTCATTTTTCATTTAGACTATCAGCTAGACCAATTTTTATTAACTGCACGCCACTTATATGAACTACGTATATAAGTACGTTAAATCGTAAGTTTGCTCATACTTGTCACGAGCACGCGTAGTGCCTACCCTTAGTGCGTTAGGTCAAAATTCGTAAAAGGGGAGACTCGGAGCCACACGTGTTATGCCCTATGCCGTCGTTTTATTCTCTACTAACCCCCATTATGTTCTACTGCCCATGTCGACAGATGTTCACGGCCCGGTACCGGGAGCAGACGTTGGCGTCCCTGCCGAGCAGCATGCAGGACTGTACGGGATCACTAACCATTCTGTTCTGCTGTCCATGTCGACAGATGTTCACGGCTCGGTACCGGGAGCAGACACTAGCGTCCCTACCGAGCAGTATGCAGGACCAGATCACCGTGCAGGACCTGTCTGTGCAGATCTACACGGTGCCCTCGATCGCACACCACCTCATGGCAGAGCAAGACGCCCTGGCTGTCGTCATCGGGACACTGGTCGATGAGCTACGCACGCATACACACGGTACGGGCTTGCGATACGTGGACATACCGTAAGAGATCCACACACGAACGTAACGAGAATAGAACGTACACGCATGACCTTACGGCCGGTGGGACTGTTTGAGGAATGGGGAGGGGAGGCGCGGCTGGTAGTTTGGTCAGACTGATGTAAGGAAGTCCGCTGAGCCTTTGTTATTCGTGCTCTTGGCCTAGGTGATGGCTTTTAATTCTAGTGGGTCATGATTGATTATTATAAAGTCAATAAAATGCGCACAAAGTATACTAGGTGCCTCATTCGAATGCTTACGACTTGAGCCAACGCGAAACTCTGCCACTCCCTGTGGCACTAGTCTCCCACTTCCCCACCTGACCCGCAACTCGTCCCACCACTGCGACAGGCGGTCAGCTGGTGCTCCGACCGGTGACCTCCGACTCGGCCGCTCGGCGCCGGTTCGAGTGTGTCATCAGCTGTCTCACCGACGCCAAGTACCTGCTGAGCGTGGTCCCGCCGACTCAGTCGGATAAACTGCGTGCCGGAGTGCGCCGCGGGCTGGACATGCTGCTCGAGCTGCTCTACTTCTGTGAGGTTAGTCTCGGGGACGTCATTTGCGCATGTGACTGGATGATGTATTGGTGTGCTAGAAAATGACAGCGTATAATTTTCAAATAATTGGAAGAAAACTCCGGATCCATCATTTACAGGCAATTGGCATCGAATGTTCCAAATGTCTTTGGCCACAACCTCAGATATTAAGTGACCAATAAGCCTTTTGGAGCTCCTCACGCTGAGTATGTAGTGTGTGATATTTGAACTGCGACTTTACCACCCACTACAACTGACCGCTGACTCCTTCCCTCGCCCTGTCCGCAGGGCATGGAGCCGGTGGTGCGCGCCCAGACGGCCCACGTGCTGTACGACCCGCAGTACGAGCTGCAGATGACGCTGTCGTTCAGTCTGGCGCCGCTGGTCAATCAGGTGCTCGAGTGGTGCGCCTCCGATCGACAACTGCTCGTCTATGCGTACAGGTGAGCAGTTGTGACGAGAGGAGGGCGTTGTAGGGGAAGGGGTGTGCTCATGTTACGCGGGACTTGGGAGTGTGCTGTGTAGTTTCTTGAATTCTTCCCTCGGAAGGATGATGATGTCTGAACTTTGTGCGGCTAGGTTGTTGATCAGATTAATGCTCATTGTGCAGATGTAGACAGATGTTGGATGTGTTTAGATTTGTTGTTTGGAACTTGGACGGTAATGAACAGTTTTAAAGCTGAAACATAACTTGAATATGGCCATATTGACGTATACGTGCTTCATTACCATAAATTGCAAAAGTCACTGCTCACTCACCCATCTTCGAGCCGTCCGCTGCACTTGCTCTCTAAATGACGTGTTGGTTTGTTTATCGATCATATGTAGTGGTGACATGTCATCTCTCGCCTCTCACTCACTCGGGACCCTGTTTATTTGTGTTCCGTCATCTTGGCGTCAGTGTTTGGATAAATCGTCACCCTATCATTCGGCCTCATCACTTCCGCATGACGTGTACTTCCGTTCCACTGCCTAACACACTACACCCTAAGAGTCTAGCCTTAGTCGACCAGTCGATCCTAACAAATACTCTCTCTGTTCGACAGTGCCGTGCTCTCCAAGCTGCACTCGCGCCTGCCGCCGGACAAGTACTTCCAGCGGTGTGAGGTGCTGCGGTTCGGGCGCCGTCTCAGTGTCAGCCCTCTGTCTGTGATGACAATGCCCGTCAGTCTGGAGTTGCCGCTGTCCAGACTGCTCGCGGGGCTCCATCTACATTTGGGTGAGTGGAACACGCAGGCAGGGGATTGCAGAAAGGGTTTATTAGTTGATGAGTTGAGTTTGAGTGCGCTTTAATTACAAATTGAAGTCAGCCCCCGTGGGCTGCAGTTGGAAGAATGGAAGTTGAACGGGCTACCTACGAAATATGATGGCTATCAGGAACGGATGATCTGGTGGATATGAATATATTCGTATTTTACGGTTTTGGCGCAGCCCGACAAAGCTGGATTATGCCGCAATAACCAGGAGTACATCACGTAAATCTTGTTAATAGGCATTTGGCTCCTATTAGCTACCTATGACATGTAGAATGTAGATCGCTCCTGGTGTTATGCTGATGTTTATTATACCACCGCTGCCTGGCAGCTGTTTCCATTATCCCATGAGTGCGTACTCACTACCCACTCGTCTGTCTCCTCTCGTCGCCAGCGGCGCACGGCCTGAGTTACAACAGCAGCGAGTTTGCCTCACTGGAGGACCGCGTCACTCCAGCCCAGATGCTGGAGCGGCCACTCCGGGCGCTGGTGGTCGATGCCCAGGTACGGAACCGTGTACTCTGATCCTTCCCTTCGGTTTCTCCCTTGGCCCCCTTGGCGCCGGACGTCCAGTTGGGTCGTAACTATGCACCCTTCCACGGGCACTCTATGGTGGCCTGACGAGCAAGGGGATTTGGCACTGGTCGTCAATGCCCAAGTCCGTAACTGTGTACTCTGTCCCTCCACTGCGACCTAGAGCGAATGGGTTTCTCATCTGTTGTGTCAGCTGCAGTACCGTTTTCAGCCGGTGCGGAAGCGCCTGACATCAGTACCTATCTTGTTTGTCTGACATCAGCTCAATATGCGACTGTGTCTGTCTTATAGCAGTGATGTGGGTGTCTCTCACGTCAGCACAATGATGTGTCTGACTCTGACATCTCGCGTAACCCCCAGGTGCAGTCTGGCCTGTGGCGGCGCAATGGCCGCTGGTTGGAGATCATGTGCAGCTGGTACTCGCTGCCCGTCCAGGTGGCCGATATGCGCGACAGAGACCTCCAGGTGAGACCACACACCGTCCCACGGCGGAGGGATGGAAGGTGCTGGTGGTGGATAGGACGGGCTAGGGTGCGGTGTTTTAGGTGAATCTGTTTGCCCAGGGCTTCACTGGGGCTCTTCACAGCTTGGAAACTCTTGAGAAGTACTGTCTGTATTTACATCATCGGACAAATATGCATACCGTTACAATTACAGGTATATGCATACAGTAATTCTAAGTTACAGTTTACAATTATAAGTTAACAGCTCACGGTTATAACTTAAAGTTAACAGTTACACATTTAAACAGTTACAGCTTATTACACAGAGGGATAGTTCCAACACCATGAACGGCCTGCAGTGCGCTGCAAGAGTGCTACACATAATTAGCATTCTGCGCACTCACGCGTGTCGACCAGGCCGTCTGATCTGCTGCACGATCAGCATAGAGAATAGGATGGTGCAATGAAGAAAGTGTTATCTGCAAAGCTCTTTATAATTACGGATAGGAGGACGAAATCAGGATAAGAAACATAATCCCTTATTCCCCCTGAGCCGACAATAAGATGTGTCACTGAACACTTGCAACAAGATATGAGAGTATGATGCACAGGTATGCGTTATTGGAGGTCGACACCAGCAGCAGCAGCGGCAGGTGTAGATCCCATCGGTTCGCCAAGAACATAATGAGCAGCAGCCGTCGTCTCGGACGCCGTAGATGTAGGTACCACAGGTGCGCCTCTGGAGTAGCCAGCGAGTGGTGCTGGACCACAGTAGCGGCCGGCTGGTACCTGATGTCGCCGGAGATCGTGCTGATGAGGTCACCAGAGAGGTGACGGCGGCGTCAGGTGCTGTTGTAGCCGGATCCCAGCAGGAGTGCGCCGCCACGGGTGTTGTGGTGTGGCGCAGAGAGTTCTGTCCACCGGTACACCGTGCCATGATGATGGGGCGGGTGTGTAGACGGCGTCGGTGTCAGAAGGCTGCTGCTCGGTCTGGCTGGAGAACCAACAGGGGCATCTCCTTGACTGCAGGACTTGCTGATGTCGACCAGTGCAGATCTCGCGGCTGGACTGGGCCCTTGTCCAGAGATGGAGACCCGAAGATGGAACCTTGTGACCATGACTGACACATTGCTGTGCGAAGTGGGTGACAAGTGAACCTTAAATTGTGGCTCAAGGGGAGGCTACGATAATTGTTAACTGAGAGGAGTTTTGGGTGAAGCGGTAAGGCCTGCGTCCTACTTATACTAATATGATTAGCAATGGTGACAGATAGTTCAATTATACACATCCGACTTAAACATTATCAATGGCGACGAGCAATACATTATCCGACTATATCATTATCAATGGTGACGAGCAATTCAATTACATACAACAACACATACAACAATTGCATAGTAGATTAACTATTTAGGGTACACATTTCACTCATCTTCGTAATTCTGTCTGTCCATCGCCATATATAATAGGCATCATGTGATAAAACAATGAACATCATGTGACAAAATAGAGATGTGCAATGTCACTGCAACTGCGAGGCTTGGGACCAAAGAAAATGTTTGGCCTCACCATGTGGCGCTTCCGCTTACATTGTTGTTTGTAGGTTGTGTTCGGGTTGCTGCAGATGGTGAGCGCTGGCCAGGCGTGGCACAGGAGCACTGAAGCGTACATACAATGTGTAATCACTATCAGGCTTGATGAGCCTGGCGGAAGCGAAACATGAAACCGGGGAATATCGAAAAGTTCAATGTTTAAAAAGTCATTAAAAGTGTCTTAATCAATGAAAGGGTGAAATTTCCAGCCAATAAATGGCTTTAAGCCAAATTAGGTATTATTTTATTGGATTGCCAAGGGGTTATGTGGTCATAGACAAAGAGTCGAAAAGACCACGGGAATGCATAAGAGCTGTGTGTTGAGGATGCCGTCAGTGATAACGAAAAGATGATGATTGTGGACGGCACGGCAAAGGATATTGGGGCGGTGATTTTCCAGAACTTGTCGAAATGAAGAAGCCATATACTAGATATTGGAAACTAGAAGGAAGACACGACAAGTTTGACAACATTTCGGCACAGGAGGTGCAAGAAATACGAGAGCAATGTGTTGAGCTAGGAATGTCAACTGAACCAGATGAAATATGATCATCGGTTGCCATTAAAGTAAAAGATAGTGATCCTTCATTATAACGGAAAATAGTAGGTAAAACAAACTGTAAGTGTGATGAAGCGAGTAGTGCAATAGCACGAGGAGTTATCATCACACGACGCGACTCTTTTGCAAAAGAATTCATCTCCTTCCCATGGTTACGTCTCTGGACAATGGCATGTGTCCTGACTCCGTCCTCTAGTGCCATTTTGTTGGCGGATACAATCATAGGCAGCGTCCTCTCCTGGCTGATTTTCTATAGGTTTGGCGAAGAACTGAGAAGGGTGGTACAGAATGCCTTGGTGTTGTGCAAGGGTTATCCAATTTACTACCGAGCGATCCGAGCAAAGATCACAGGAGTCACTGTCACAAGAATCGATGGCACAGATTTGTGGTGGAAGAAAACGGTGAAGAGAAAAGGGTCGCTACCTCAGCCACCGCTTTTTGTCTTCTCTTCTTCGGTCTTCAACTCGTTGACGAGGTGGTGTTCATCACTCGATGATGTTGAGGACAGCGCAGGCTGACGAGCCGTGCGCTGTCGGCGGGCTCCTAGAAGTCCAGTGCAGCTGATAGCGTTGGTTGTCGCAGGGCAGATGATATTGCCGGGCAGAGCTGCTCATCGGAGACGGTGCTGCTGGACGATGAATCTAGGATGGTCAGCTTCCGAGTCGATGACGTGACGTAGGATCGACGCACCGGGCGCACCGTCACAGAGTACGGACCGAGCAGCCTGCGATGTTACTGCAGATGCAGATGCCGGGGTCCGCAGCGAGGGCACAGGTCCCCTCGACCGCCGCTGCCACCAGTGTCGCAGAGGCGCAGAAGGAGAGAACCGGGCGGGCCGAGACCTACGCTGGGACTGTCTGGTTCGCTAGCGTCGGTGCTTGTGAAAGGCTCGGCTGGTTGCGCAACACAGGAATTGTTTGTGCGTATGCAGGCTCGGGGGAGGGTTGCGCAACACACGACCGGCCTTCCGAACGACTGGGTTATCAAATCGGTGGGAGGTGCCGACACGCATGTGAAAGCTGCGGCTTTTTCACGGCAACAAAGCTGGGACGTGTACTATTATTATCATGATATGATACAGATAATTTATAGGTTCCACAATTATGTTCTTATTAGATTTGTACAAGGAAGGTAATCACGATGGACATTGCGAATTTTCATCCACTCTAGAGCGCACACCTTACTACACCTTTTTGCATTTTAATTCAACAACTCGCCATAACTGTTTGAGTAGCCATCTCGACAGTCGGCATTGAGCACAACTATTTCGGCGTTGTGTGTTTCATTAGCGGTCTACGAAACAGTTTGACACTTCGCCAGATTGAGCGAGCCAGCTTGGCATATGACGAACAGTTTCGACCATTGACGACTTGTTTTGCACAATGTTGAACCATTCGCTCAATGTCGAGTTGTAGAGGAGAGGAAGACCGCCGAATAGTTTTGCACAATGGTGATTCTTTGTGACCAACCGCCCATTTGTAGCGCCACCTATATGACGAATGTGTACAAATGTTTTGTCCAAAACGGTTAAAGGTAGTGTGCCACCTTTGAATGATTTCCCATTTTATTTTTCCTAGGATAAGAAGCTTCTGTTTTTACCTAATATCGAAAAAAAATCAAAAATGGGCCTAAAATAGTGCTTTTTTCACCAAAAAGTTTATCGGTTTTTCGATATGTATAACAACTGTAGTGGCCTCACCTGCAAACAGGCGTCGGCAACAATCACGAATGCGGCGCACATGTGACAATAAGCAAAGGTCATTATAGAGTTACGACGCACGGGAATGAGTTATCAGCTGTCTAATCGTAGACAACACAATGTCGAATTTAAACTGTAAGCCTGTATTGGTATTGTTTCTTTAATTTGGGTGTCGAACATTAATTTATGGTTGGAAATATTATTTTATGTAAAATAATTGATATGAAACAGCCGTCTCTAAAGTTATGACCCCATCTCACCACATGAAAGTGGCAAAAATGACAATGATCAGCTGACGCATTTTTCTTGGCCGAAGTCAGAGCGCGCGGCCCGACGCACCACCACCGCGCCCAAAGCCAGGGCCCCGGTAACGTGAGGTAGCCGAGTCGGGGCAGCGTGCGCTGACCCAAGCCGGGGCCGCGGCTTTGGGCGCGGTCTACCGCATCCCCGCGGGCAGCCCCGGGCTATCACATGACACCGGGAGGACGCGCGGCCCCGGCTTTGGTCAGCGCACGCTGCCCCGACTCGGCTACCTCACGTTACCGGGGCCCTGGCTTTGGGCGCGGTCTACCGCACCACCTAACAGGCGTGTTCGAAACCGCAGGAGATGCTGATGAACGGGTTTATCGAAACTTGATTGGATGAGCCTATCGGTAATAGCGATTTCAGTGTGTGCATTTATTGTTCATAGTGGTGTGAAATGTGGTTGGGGTACGACCGACAACCCGTCGGGGCGAATTTCGCACTGGGGTACTCAAAATTTGAAGAATTTAAGACGTTTCCATTAGTTTTGAAGGTATGGATAAGTTCTAAAAATCCGGTTCTCCTTATCTGGGCCATTAACTCCATACGGTCCAGGAAAGCTGGCACACTACCTTTAAAAGCTAGCGCAAAAAGGTGTATTAGTGATTCATCCCTGTCGAATATTTACACAACCGAGCGATGTTACATTAACACGTCGCTTCTCGCCAAGAGCTGAATAAGAGTTTGTGTAAGTACTAAATAGTGAAATAGCTGTAAGCAATACACCAAAATAACGGCGTTTTGTATGACCTGTCTCTTACGATGATTACCACCCACCCCTCGCTGACATCTCCCCGTTTCTTCGGTCCCCAGGTGGCGCAGATCTGTGCGTCTCTGATGGACCCGGACGAGTTCGTAGCCACGCTGCTGTTCCGACATGGAGCGGCTGACGCAGACGGAACGCTGGCTGGCGAGCACGGCGAGGCACTGGTGAGTGGTGAGGCACTGAGACATGGTGAGACACTGAGACATGGCAGAGGACGGAACACTGGCGGGCGAGCACGGCGAGGAACTGGTGAGACACTGAGACATGGCGGGGGAGCATGGCGAGACACTGAGACACGACAAGGGAGCATGGCGAGACACTAGTGAGACACCGAGACATGGCGTGGGCTGGGACGGCACACTGGTGAGACAATGAGACACAGCAGGGGAGCATGGCGAGACACTGGCTGGTGAAGGCGTGAGGAGACATGACGGAAGAGAGATCGAGTTTGTGATGGCTTAAGGTGGGCCTGATGGTTGGAAAAAGTGTGGGTTATCATAGTTAAAGGGAAATAATATGGAGTGGAGAATGCACTGCAGGAAGGGATAATAAGGACTCATAGAGAAGGTAAGGGATTGAGGGAATACGGTGATAATTAAAATCGCCTCTGGCGGGAGAATCTCTGTTATTTAACTTTTTTGTATAGATTCGTAGAAGATATTGTGTGATTAGCAATGGGGTTGGGAACTCGATTTTTTAAGAATGCATGAAAATGATCAAACTATTTTCACAGAATTTATGGTGCATACCATTGCCTCATAAAATCAATAAGCTGAGAGAAATGGGGGAAGAAAGATAGGAAACTTGTTTTGAAAAGTTCTTGAAAAAAGATGCTCTTGATGCTGTTACGTCACATGTCACCTTCTGCGGTTGACAAATAATGGCGCATCTGGCGCACCACAGATTACATGTTATATCAATGGGTGAAAGATGTTGTTTGCTTCACCCTGCCATTCACGCTGTTTTTAACTTTAAATTATGCTAAAACATTCACGGATGAAATGTTCAGTGTCAAAAATTGATGTGTCTGCCGTGTACTATATTCCCACTTAACATGAGCGCGTGATAAACATTTTATGTACCTCGAATTTTCAAATGATAAAGATGATGAATCGGAGGATGCTGAAAAGCAAAAGCTCATTCCAATATTTGGACTACTTTACGATTAAAATGTTTACATTCCTGTCATCTTATTGATCATTTATTTGTTCTTTTTTACGAAAATAACTTAAGGCGTTGAGAACCGAGGTAATTTCTATCTACCGTGCCTTAACTTACCAGCAACAGCAATCTATCTACGCCCTACGGTGGCAAGGGAGACTGTGAAAGAAGCGTAAGATGGATTCTAAACAATTCTTTTGTGATATACTGAAGGGCAAAGTGCAGAGAAGAGCGTACAAGTCCTGTTTTGTGCCAGGCTGTTGCAGTAGCACTTATGAAACTCCGAAAACGATCTTCGTTCATGTCCCGAACAACATTACCCTGAGGAGATGATCGTCTGCAATAGCAGGAAGAGCTGATGCAAGTACTTTGAAATCCACTATCAAGTCGGTGCTATTGTTGTAATGATCACTGTGAGGTGAGATATTTTGTGCAAGGGCTGAGTGTAATGCCCAGGAAATGACCTCCATTCGCCCCCTGACCGGTCAGGGTTATAAAATTTGAGTGGATGGCGGTCCGTTTGGGGTTCAGATGTCAATTGTATTTTGTTACTGTCAAACAATACATGTTATGCTGGCAGCGAATGTGTGTAACGTCGTTTTTCGAAGCAGAAGTTAGAACTGTAACGGCAGAGTGCTTGCTGGTCTCATCGTAAGTATTGTAAGTGTTGTAAGCAAAAGCATTGTCAATATTGTAAGTATTGTGAGCATTGATGTATGGTAGATATCACCTCACATGATCTCGGCTCAGATAACCCTCTCCGGTGTCCCTGTCAGTAAATGGCACCTGGATCATTACAGATAAGATAATTTGTCATAATTCTTAAAGAATTGGGTGGTTTTGACTCGTTTACTCGAGGTGCAGGTCGCATTTCAATACTTTTCCATAGGCTTGCAATGTAAAGGTCACGACTCTGACCTAACCTCAGGTCACAGATCAAAAATTCTGAGATATACAAACGACACATACTGCAGGTACTGTTTTGAAGACTTGATGAGAGGAAATAACTTCGTGAAAAACTCAAGCTCTGACGTGTTTGCAAACTTTTCTGAGGTGGGGTCAACAAACCCGCTCTGGTTACCTGACCTGACCTGACCCGGCATTTTTTTTTTTTTTTGCTGAGATGTGCGCAATGAGCATTTAGGAAAAGTCACCAAATATGAGCTGAATGTCTCGCGGCGTTTGGCAATTGTACAAGAAAATCCTGAAAGGTCTCCCCGTCCGAAATAGGGTTAATGTGTATATGAAGAGTTGCAGATGCCAAACATACCCAGATCTAAGACTGCAGTTCCCAGCGCCGCTGCAACGTTTTTAAAACAAACATACATAGGACATACAAACATGTACATAGAATACATAGGATGCATAGGATGACAGGCGAATAACCGCTCACGCAAGGAGCGGAGCTCCGCCCCGTCCAAAGTGGCCAACAAAGCAGAGACAGAGGCAGCATCACATCTTCCATCAAAGAACTGGTTTCTGGCTTGGAAGGTGAGCTCCATCTTTGCATCCGAGTCGGTGCTGTCAGGAATCAGCTGGTCTAATGGAGTGAGAGTAGTGAGACGACTAGCTATTGTATCAGAGCTGCCTGGTCTTCGTAGCATTTGCACCGATTCTTCTCGATCGGACTCTGAATTCTGTTCCTCCTGCGTATTACTTGAGGCATTGCTATATAGCTAAGTCTTTGGCAGAGTTTCATTATCCATGCTTTGCAAACAGTGCCATAACAACACAGTTAATTAATCACCAAGCTTCTTTGCAAGTTCCAATACAGTTGAATCGCACGCGATTTGAGTGCAAAAATCAAGAAAAGTGCCAACTTGTTCTCGTAAAATATTTTGAATATTGACCTTAAAAAATGAGTAATTTCCAGATAAAATAACAGCTAAATCAGTTTTCGCTTGCCAATAAAACTCACAGATATTGAAGCTCCATTATTAAAGGAACATTTTAGTATATGCCATTCTTGATAAAACGTCTTAGCCACGCAATACCAGCGCAAAATAAAGAGACACTGAAAACACGACCAATCACTCCGATTTACCATAGGAAAATACATAGAAAATGTATGTCTCAACTGCGCCAAATATACAGACAGTTATATACCTACATGTGACGTCATGATTAGCCCGACCAATCAGAAGCAAGTTGTTTTCAGCCACAAATAATTGATTTCTGAACTAACTAGGCATTTTTTTTAACAAAGTGATTTTAAATTAAATCATTAAAAATTCTGAGCTTTTTTATTTTACCAAAACATACAGAGCATGCAGATAGGTCCCAACCCTATTAGTATCATTGTCACAAATATGGGTGACTTGAATATATTTGCGGCCAAGTAACCAGCTTCCTCCTCTCACCCTCTCTGATCTGCAGCCGGAGGACGACCCGGAGGGCGAGCGGCGTGAGCACATGGACAGCAACATGGCCGACCTGCTGCTGCTACTGCTGCACGTGTTCGCCGAGCGCTACCATCCGGGCGTCGGCCAGGTCACCAAGGAACAGTGCCTGGAGAATGAGGTGAGAGCGGCGAGACCGACTGATGGTGGTGGATAGGGGGAGGCGACGAGCGGCTGTGGTACTGCAGAGCATGGAAAGTGAAAGAGCGGTACGCCGTGTGGTTTTCATGGAATAGGTGGCTGACATCTAAGCTCTGTTATCAAAATTTTGCTGTAATATTTTCATGTATAGTCATTTTTGTGTTGCTGCTGTTATCTGCTATTTGCGCTACTCACAGTCTATCTTTCGTGGTAACGAGCGATTGCCAGTGATCGCTCTGACCGAGTCTGACACTGACCACCCCGCCCGCCCCGCCTCTCCCCGGCAGGTGATCCAGTTTCTGTGCGTGAAGCCGATGACCCACTCGCAGGTGGCCAAACAGCTGAGCGAGGCCGACAGCGGCATGCTGGAGGCGGCTGTGAAACGCGTGGCCGACTTTGCCACCCAGCAGGACTTCCGGGGGCAGCTCACCTATCATATCAAACCAGGTAGGAGCAGCTTACGTAGCGCATATAACCAGCTAAGAATATATTTTTCATCACATCAGAACAGTTTTTCGTTCCCTATTGGCTGTTCATCTTCCACTGCAACCAATCAATGTTGTTGGTGTATGAGTGTTTTCCATAATCAAGCATAGATGCGTCACTGACAGTATACCGCTCTAATGCGCTGTTTTTGTGGACGCAGGGCAGCTTTGAAATCATGCGTCTTAAAACGCATCGAAGCAGTATTCCATTCATAATTCGACTGCGACCCATCGACTTCAGCTGCTGATATGCTACCCTAGCTTCTGTGCCCCTTGCTAACCTCTCCCCTCCGTTGCTAGAGTACACACACCGGTACACCCCGATGTGGCACCACTTCTCGCGTCACTACCGGTCCCAGTCGGAGCAGAGACTGCGGCGGCTGCGACGACAGCGCGGCGAGTCGGCCTGTCTGCCGCCGCCGCCGGCGCCGCCCTTCCAGCCGGCGCTTCGGCCCGCCAGAGCCATCCTGACCTGTGACGTGACGCTGCAGGTGCTGCTGCAACAGCTCAACAGGTGATTGTGGGACTGGGGTTAGTTGTGAGCCTTTGTTGTGGACAGGTCTGACCGAAGGTATTTAGAGGATGGTCTGGGAGATACGAGTGTCGAAAAGGAATGCTGTAGGAAGTAAATCATTGCATGATATTGCCAGGCAGTCCTGATGATCTCCATTGTTCGTAAATACTAAATATACCTACTGCCTAACACCGATATGCTTTGGATGCCTCGTATGGACATAATTGAATCTCTTTCGTTCGACCATTTACATTTCCGACCAATGATCAATACGTCTGCATTCTGCACACACTTGTTACCTATGTCCACCTCTCTAACCCGTTTTCTGCCCGCCCCCGCTCCTGTCTGCAGGATGTTTGACGCGCCGTTCGCCGCCTCTCTGGAGCTGATCCTGCTCCGCTCCTTGTTCCTGATCGGCACGGCGCTGAACGAGGAGGAACGTGAGGCCAACACCGACGAGCCGGAGCCGTTCTGTTTCTCCGGGCCGGCGCAGCGGGTCGGGCTGGTGGACGTGCTCCAAAAACTAGTGAGAGGGGTGGGAGAAGGGAGAGAGAGAGAGAGAGAGAGAGAGAGAGAGAGAGAGAGAGAGAGAGAGAGAGAGAGAGAGAGAGAGAGCGTGCTGTGGTGCCCGCAGCGTTGCATGATTCGGTGTTTTGCTCACTGGCAGCTCACCTCTAATTAGCATTCTTTGGTCTAGAAGTTTTCGATCCTGAAAGATAGGCTGATTTAGCATGTTCGTATATTATTATTTGTGTGTTTTTTATGGTCACTGGTTGATTTCGTCAGCTGTTATTCAGTCGTTTTTTTTTCGTTCCCAGGTCGGTAACCCGCGCGTCAGTCCTCACGCCGACCTCTTAGCATGGGTGAACGCCAAGCTGAACCGTCTGCTGGGCCGAACTGCAGCCGCCTCAGACAGCCAGGCGGCGGCCTCAGAGGACGCCGGCAGCGAGCAGAAGCGCCGCCGGGCGAAGGCGGCCGCCCTGCGCTCGCGGATCCTCGGCCAGATGCAGGCGCAGCAGAAGAAGTTCATCTCTGAGAACATGACGGCGCTGACCGAGCCGGAGGAGGCGGAGCCGAGCGGCGCGCTGTCGGCCGAGCGGGCGGCGGCCGTCACCGGGTCGGCCATGGACCTGAGCGAGGGCGCCGAGCCGGACCGGTGGCCCGTGTGTCTGGGCCCGCGGCAGTCGGCGCGGCCGGCCGCACCCGCCGAGTACACGTGCATCCTGTGCCAGGCCACCGAACAGGTGTCCAGCACGCGGCCGGCCATGGTGATGGCGGCGTTCGTGCAGCTGTCGACGGTGCTGTCTCGGGACCGGGCGTCCACGGCGGCCAACCCGGTGCTGTACGTGCCGAGCTCGCTGCACCGGCTGCCGCACACCTCCAGCTGCGGACACGCCATGCACGCCGCCTGCTGGCAGCGGCACTTTGACAGCGTGGCGCGAGACAGACGCGCTCACCCCAGGTAGGTGGAAGTGATGTGGCGCCGCTGTGTCCTCCTTGTTGCATTGTACTTGCCAGTATTGTAACGGAAAACTGAACCATTTGACTCCGAATTTCGTCAACGTCAGGCATTATAATCTGCTCCTGCGGTTGCAAAAGTGTTACCCACTGTACTAATGTTACACTGAGTATCTCCGCCCCAGTAGGTATCCCTATCCCCACTGACTGACTCGATATATGACCCTCCGTCTGCCCCGCAGAGTCCAGTACCTGTCGTCGTTCGACGTGCAGCGCCACGAGTTCCTGTGTCCGCTGTGTCTCCGTCTGAGTAACACAGTGATACCCGTGGTGGCCGAGTGGGGCGGGGCGGCGCCGGTCCCCGCCACCGCCGCCACCGTCGACCACATCGACGTGTGGCTGTCGGGACTGATGGTGGCCTGTGGACCGGTGAGTAGTACTTTTCTGCCCTTTCCATTCCCCGTTTATTACGGGAATAGGTGTAGGATGTGTGGTGGGGAATGGGTTACTGAACATGATGATATGATGATGCGTTATTCGTGGTTAACTGCTGAGGAAATTAACGTTTTGAAATTTAAGTGATGACCGCCGATGGCGCACAATCAACGGAAGCTCATCCTCTAGATTTGAAGATGATAGCCGTCTGGCTTTTACATACGACATAGTTCTACGTAGGTATCACGTCCTAACTATTGTGACAAGCGGCCTCTGTGAACTCTTGTTGCCTGCGACCTCTAGCTTACTTGTATTTTGATAACCATGTGTGATAACCATGCCCTGAGATGTGACATGCGGTGACCTGTCATCCCTCCCCCTGTGTATAGGTGCGCGGCGGCGGTGGTACCGAGGAGGACCCGTGCTCGTGCTGTGACCCGGACTGGGCCGACACCCTGACAGCGGCTGTCGGCTGCCAGCTCACAGAGAGGGAAAGTGAGTTACAGAGCGACGGCCCGCTGATATGGAGCGATAGACTGAGGGATGGAAAATAGTCATAGGGAGAAAGCAAGATGCGTTAAGTGCAAACTGAAGTATTAAACACGTCTTGGCCTATTATTATTATTATTATTATTATTATTGTTTATTCAGCATCGTCATGCGACAAAAAGATACATACCCCCCCCCCCCTCCCCCACCCACCCACACACACAGTTAATCAGCACTCAGGAGGTTAGTAGTCTTAACAGGCGCCGCGAGGCCTGACAGTTGCTTGCCAAAACCATCTTCAAACTGTCTATAAGACCACTTTCTTGGAGTGGTGCCCGGACTATGTCGTGATCGACGTACCCAGCAGCGATGTGCATGATAGCGCCGAAGTTCCCACCACACAGATTATATACGTGGCCAATAAACGACCCATCCAACTGCTCGGGGTACGTAGCAAGTCTGGCCAGTCCAGTGACGTAGGCTTGGCGAAGACGGTGGTCAGCGCGGAAAGCATTACGGAATGCGCGGAGGGCATCACCTCGCAGCACCTCACCGATGCGAGGCACCCCAGCAGCAATCAAAAGAGCCGTATGGTGCGCAGAACGCGGCAGACCCAGCGCTGCCTTGATCAGCGAAGCCTGTCGCGAGTCTAGACGCTCAATGTCGGCGGAACTGAGGGGAGCCGTCTCACAGCCGAAGATCAGTGCCGGCAGCACTACTGTCTTCCAGAGGAAGATTTTGTCAGCAGCAGTCAGGCGGTTGGTGAAATTGCCCAGGGGTGTGAGGCCATAGAATGATGCACAAGCACGCCTGATGCGCTGAGCCACGTGGCTGTCTGTGCTGAGGTTGTCATCAAGCACCGTACCGAGGTGCTCGGTCGTCTGCCGGATCTGCAGCTGCTGTCCTGACAGTGTCCACCTCGGTGTGCTCGTGAATAGTTCCTGTCCAAATATAATACAATGGCTCTTGGTTTTTCCCGGTTCAGGGTGAACGAAGTCGAGGCGCCAAGTAGCCGCGAATTCTCCCACCATCTGCAGCATTGCACCGAGGTCACGCGCGTTCGCAGATATAAGGAGAATATCGTCAGCGTAGCAGATAGCGGGTACGTGCTGGCTGTGTAGATATGCTCCACGACCGCTGCGATCTAGGACCTCAATAAGAGGTAAGAGGAAGATGTTTGCAAGGGTTGGCGATAAGATGGCCCCTTGTCTGGTGCCCCTGCAGACCAGGAACGCTTCAGATGTGGCGCCACCAAAAGTCACCCTTGCAGAGAGGTGGCGGTACCAGGTGACCATGAGGCACCAGCAGTAGTCGCTAAGATAATCTTCCAGACGGAAGAACAGACCGTCATGCCATATTCGGTCAAAGCATTTCCTCGCGTCAAGGTTTGCGACAAAAACAGGAAGACCCCTGGCACGATTCTGCTGTATGGTCTCTCCAGCCAACAGAGACGCTTGCATGGTGCCCCGATTGGAGATAAAACCAAACTGCAGATGATGAGGTTCAAATGAGGCGTTCAGTTCGTCTAGCACTAACAGCTCGAGCAGCTTAGATGCGCAGGTTGTGATTGAAATCGGTCGATAGTTGTCCAAGCAGTTAGGGTCCGATTGAGATTTCTTCAACACGGGTACAATAACGCTGTCAGCGAAGGTAGCTGGCACGCTACACGTGGACAGGCAGACAGAGAGAAGGTGCGCCAGAGCTGACAGGAGACAAGGCGACTGACCATAGAGAAGGTGCTCCGCCGTGATGCCGTCTATACCAGGTGCCTTCCCACGCTGTAACCGGTGAATGAGGCCTGCTACTTGTCCAGCTGAAACCGTTCTTTCGGATGCATCGTTACGGATTCTCCTTAGTCGAGAATCTACATGTTCAGCAATTTGGAGCTGGTCCAGAGTCAGTTGCCTGTGACTATCTTGGTGCACAGTCTGGAAGTGGGTGCGGAAGTCGGCGGCGGATAGATCAGAGGCCGACTTGAGTCCATTACGCCGTATCTGTTGCACACGTCGCCAGAAGGCTGTCAGATTTTTGTCACGGCGGAGCAGTCGGAGAGTGTGGGCCTCGCTCTCGATCCGCGTCACTGCTGCACGTCTGCGGGCGTGACGGTAAGCAGATCTTGCAGCCTGATAGCACTGTGCCACTGCTGAGAGGGTAGGACGGCCACAGCTTACCCATATCTGATGCCAGAAACGAGTGCGATCCCGCGCCACTGCCACATCAGGCGACCACCAGGGCTTCGGGGGACGTCGCGACTTGGAGCATCCGGCGATTCGCGCAGCGGTATGTATGCATCGTGTAATTGCTTCGTCAATCTCATCCGGGGTGGCACCGTTGGTGAGCTGACAAGCACCAATAAGCTCGTCCAGAGAAGACAAATATATCTGCAGTTTTTCTGGACAGCTCCAATCTAGTACTTCTGAATGGATGGAACCCATATTCAGTGGAGGGCTGGAGACATCGAGACTGGTGCCAGCTGAGGCAGACGGCAGCACCACGCTGCAAAGGACCGGAAGATGTGGGCTCAGGTTGTCCACACAGGGGGCTACGATGCGACAATCATGAACTTGAGGTACCAGACATTGCGGTACAGCGATGTGATCGATGTGCGATTGGCCGTCAGCTCGAGCATAGGTGTACGCCACTGGTTGCGAGAACCGGAACTCGGCGACTGTCAGTCCGTGGTCGTCCAATAAGTCTTGCATTAGAAGACTCAGCGGAGAGAAACCCCGAAGACGGTGCCAGCCCGGTGGGCGCAGTTCTGGTGACAGTGGTGGCAGAGCACAGTTAAAATCGCCTACAAACACCACTGGAGCTGAGGGTCTTAGCGAAGAGAGTAATGCATCAAGCTTCCCCGTCAGGATTGTGTACTCTTCAAAATTTACGGCAGATGAATTCCAGTACGGCATGTAGCAGCCAATTATCGTTATAAGAGGACGGCTCAGCTCCACAATCGTAACTCCACAGATACGAGAATCATTACACTCTACAGCGCGAAATGTGCGCCCCGCTTGACGGCGGCAAACAAAAGCCACGCCACCGTGGGGTCTGCCATCTCCAGTCCCTGGTGGTAGTTCCATGGCGAATTCTTGAAATACCTGAAATTCTTCGGAGCTTAGAGAGGAGAGTGCATGCTCCAGATAAGCACCCTGGGCACGGGCTAGCCAGGTTTCGCATAAAAATAAGATATCACATTCAGGTATTAGACAGTCGGCGATATACTGCGCTCCTGCGAGAAATCCTTCGCAGTTATAAGTGCCCAGAGTGAGGCTCATGTTCAGAGTTACTTTTGCATCCACAGCATTACGGCACTCCGCTCTGTCATGCTTCACAGCGGTGGCAGCAGGACAGGGATGGCCCCCAGGAGTAGCCATCTGGGCGCTATTCCCAGGAGGTGGCCTCTCGTGCGCGCTGATAGGGCCACCCACGGTATCCGGATCCGTCACATTGCGAAGCAGTCGCCCTCCAGCCGTTGCCACCGTGTGTGGCGCCTCCTCTGACGTGACGGGAGGCTATCGTTCATAAATTTTTGTTATATCGTTCCATTGTTTTGTTGTGTTGGGTTGGAGCACTTTCGGTCTGATGAGGCCACTGCTGCTACGCTATTCTGTTTTGCGATTTGCTGGAATATGCCATGGGGCGTTTCACGGGCTGACAATATTTCTCGTCCCCAGGTGCCCAGTTCCTGGCCGTCTCTCGGCTGGGAGTTCCGCCTCCAGAGACGCACAAGTCCGCGCGCGACATGGCCGGGAGGTTCTTCCAGTCGGCCTATTCGGTAAGACTGGGTGTGGGACAGGGGCATTAGGTAAAAGTGGGTGTGCCGGGTGTGGGACAGGGGTACTTTGGTAAGGGTGGGTGTGGGACAAGGGCCGAGGGAAGAAGAACAGCGGCTGTGCAAGAAATGAGACGAGAGCTTGCTCTTGGCTTTGTGGGATAGGGGTTTCTGAGCTCATCCAAGGACTCAGGTTGATCTATATTTCTTTAGCACCGTGAGTTATTTGAACTTACTTTTCTCGCATATCTCATGCATTTATATTGTTAAGCCGCTAACAATGTAAGATCTATTCGCCGTATGACTGTCCTGCTAACCCACCTCTGTCCGTCTCCCCAGGCGGCGCACCTGTCGCGGCCGGCCGAGCGCGGCGATCGCCGCCAGGTGGCTCTCCAAACCTGCGTGTACTCTGTTCACTGCGCCGAGCAGCTGCTGCGCGCCGCCGAGCGGCCGCTGCTGGCCGAGGACAGCTGGCGCGCCCACCTCTGTCTGCGCCAGGTGGTGCGCGTGTGCGCCACACTGGCGCCGGGCGCCACCGGCCTGGAGCCGGCGCGACACCAGTGCCTGGCGCTACTGCGCCACCTGCTGCTGCCCGACGCCGACACACCCACTGCGGTCGACTTTGACGCGTTCGGTGCGGTGGTGATGCTCAGTATGGGCCTGCCTACGGTGGCGGCGAGACGGGAGCAGGAGGGACTGCTGGCGCCGGCCGGCTCGCTACAGGTTCGTACAGAGGGACGAGGAGGGAGTAAAGAGGGGGAATTGGGGGAGATTCGCGGCGATGACAGTGGGCTCCTCAGGGCTGAAATATATGCGGCGTTCAACTTCGAGACGGGCGATGATAAGTGGAAAAGATGATTGTTGACTGGCTTTGAGATTATGTATTATGTAACTACAACCTCAAAGGGTAATTGTGTATCGAGTCCGTTACAGCGTTGTTGCCTCTGATATAAAGCCTGCTGCTGAATGTGGCGTCTCTCCCCAGGACCTGCAGTGTGTGCGGCTGTCTGACCATATGATCTCCCGTCCCCAAGACCAGCCTGCAGTGTGCTCGTCTGTCGCTGCTGCTGCACCTGGTGCAGATCCTGCTGACGCTGTGGTCTCCCGTCCCCAGGACCTGCAGTGTGTTCGTCTGTCGCTGCTGCTGCACCTGGTGCAGATCCTGCTGACGCTGTGGTCTCGTCTCCCGTCCCCAGGACCTGCAGTGTGTTCGTCTGTCGCTGCTGCTGCACCTGGTGCAGATCCTGCTGACGCTGTGGTCTCCCTCCCCTCCCCAGGACCTGCAGTGTGTTCGTCTCTCGCTGCTGCTGCACCTGGTGCAGATCCTGCTGACGCTGGACGTGGCCGAGCTGACGCGCCAGCAGCCGATGGAGACGGACGACGAGCCGGCCGCCGGTGACCAGGACGAGCAGCAGTGGCTGGCAGAGCTCTACACGCTCGTCCGCTCCGCCGCCGGCGTCGAGGTGGCCGACGTCAGCCCGCCGCTGCTGCGCCAGTACGTGTCCGGCGCGGTGACGCCGTTCCTGCGCTGCTGCGCGCTCTACTTTCACTTCCTGACGGGAGTGCGCGCGCCCGACGAGCTGCTGCAGCCGCTGCCGCTGGCGGCCCAGTACCCGCACCTGCTGCGCTACCTGGGACTCGACTCGCTCTGCGTGTCGCAGGCCATCGATTACAGCAGCGCCGTACAGGCACTGGTGCTCAGGTGAGAAGAAGGGGTGCCGCGGTGGTGGAGTGGGAACAGACGAAATGGGACGGGCGCGGGCGGGATGTTGAACCAACACTGGGTCGTCAAAGTGAAGTTGTTTCTCAAGGCTTTAGTCATTTGCACTTGTCACTCTTCTTAAGTTTTGCAAGAAAATATTCGTACTGAATTTAATAACTATGCCATTTCCGTAATAAATTGGATTCTTACAACAGATGCCCTAAATATGCGGAACAGGATATTAATCGTGACGTGGGAAATTCATCTTTGTGTTGGTTTGATTCATGAGTCATGACTATGCCATTTGACCTAAAATGTGTGGCACGCTTGCACTTGGCAGCCGTTTATTTCTCCATGGTGACATAGATTACCATCATGTGACACATTGAGAAACGAAGCAGTGTAGTTATAAGTTATTTGCGAGTAGTGACAAGACATTATTGATGACCCAGGGAGGCTAGGGGATATGTCAAATGATATCCCGATCGGTCTCTCTCTCTCTCTCTCTCTCTCTCTCTCATCTCTCTCTCTCCTCTCTCTCTCTCTCATCTCTCTCTCTCCTCTCTCTCTCTCATCTCTCTCTCTCTCTCTCTCTCTCTCTCCTCTCCTCTCCTCTCCTCTCCTCTCCTCTCCTCTCCTCTCCTCTCCTCTCCTCTCCTCTCCTCTCCTCTCCTCTCCTCTCCTCTCCTCTCCTCTCCTCTCCTCTCCTCTCCTCTCCTCTCCTCTCCTCTCCTCTCCTCTCCTCTCCTCTCCTCTCCTCTCCTCTCCTCTCCTCTCCTCTCCTCTCCTCTCCTCTCCTCTCCTCTCCTCTCCTCTCCTCTCCTCTCCTCTCCTCTCCTCTCCTCCTCTCCTCTCCTCTCCTCTCCTCTCCTCTCCTCTCCTCTCCTCTCCTCTCCTCTCCTCTCCTCTCCTCTCCTCTCCTCTCCTCTCCTCTCCTCTCCTCTCCTCTCCTCTCCTCTCCTCTCCTCTCCTCTCTCCTCTCTCCTCTCTCCTCTCTCCTCTCTCCTCTCTCCTCTCTCCTCTCTCCTCTCACACTGACTTGCTGTATATTCTCTACGCCTTATTCTATATAGCCGATCCTCGCTGTCTGTTCTGTTGTGTGGTCTGGGCTACCTGGTGGCTAGCGCCTTCTGCCTCCCTGTCCCTGCTGGATTTACTGGTCTGCTAATGAGTGTCCAGAGGAGTATTTATACGCCTCCCCTGTCCCTCAGTTGGTGCCGCCAGCCGAGCCTGTCGTCTCGTCTGGCCGAGCTGCCGGCGCGTGTGATTGTGCCCAACGGCGTCAGTCGACTGATCGACCTCCCGCACGAGTACTCCGACCTTATACTGCAGGTGAGGCTATACTCCGACCCCACCTTCAGGGGGTAGCTAGATTGAGGGGGTCAGGCGTCAGTCAGCTGATTGACCTCCCGCACGAGTACTCCCACCTTGTTGGAAGATGGTCGCAAAAGTGAGAGTGTCCATAAGTCTAAATATCAGTCTCATATTCTGGTTCTAACACCATTTGCTGTTCTGCCAGCTAGCCCTCTGATGTCCCCAGTGCTGACCCCCCCCCCCCCCCCCGTCAGGCGTCGTCGTTCCAGTGCGAGTGTGACGAGCAGGAGCCGACGCTCAGTCCGGCGCTGTGTCTGGTGTGCGGCGCGCTGCTCTGCTCCGACCTGGCCTGCACGCGGCACCGGCAGACGGGACGGCGCGGTATGGACGGACACGCCGTCTGCTGCGGCGCCGGAGTCGGTGTACTGCTCGTGGTGCGCCGGTGTAAACTGTACCTGCTGCACACCAATGAGGTCACCACGGCGCGCACCGAGTCACCCAGAAGTGAGTAGAGGAAGATCGAAGGAGGGGGAATCACTCAGAAATTAAGTTGGGAATGTGATAGGTTGTATATGAGGATAATTAATGTACCCGGTCGCCCAAAAGTGAGTTCGGTGGAAAGGGGAAGGGTGTAGGAGTGTTTGTTGTACGCAGTTGCCCAGATGCGAGCTGTTGGGAGGGGTGCAATTTGAGTTTGTGTAGGGTCACGATGCTCAAAATTCTCGACGGCTTTGTGATAGAAGTAATGCGTTTTGGCTTCAAACTGTGTGGTTCCTCGGCAGCTCAGCAGTTCAGTTCCTTCCCATCCCATTGCCGTGCGTTGGGCCGGCACTGACCGCGTTTTCCTTCCCTCCCGTCAGAGGCGCTGTACCCGCCGCCGTACGTGGACCGTTTCTGCGAGCCGGACCAGGGACTGCGGCGGCGTAACCCGCTAACTCTCCACCGCGAGCAGTACGACAAACTAAACCAGATGTGGCTGGCGCACGGCGTCTGCGACAGCGTAACTCGCTACCTGGAGGAGTACTCGGCGGGCATGATTCTCGACTGAGAACCCTGTGGGAGCTCCGGTGAGTAGCCTGAGAGTTCTTGGTTCCTGAATAGCCCCATTGGAGACCCGCCGAGGAGTTTGAAGATTCTCAGTGGAAGAGTTGGTCGAAGTTAAGGGTACTTTGTCTTTAATGGAGCTGTGTTGAATGGAGAGTGAGATGTATGTTGAGCTGGTAACTCGTTACGTGGAACCCTGAGATGGAAGACCCCCGATGCCCAGCCGGATTGAAAAGAAGAGACAGGATACTGGCAGCAGGCTTTTACTTTTGTGTTGGAGAACAGGAGCTTTGTATTTTGGCCGTCGTTGTTTGAGACCGGAGAGTATTATGCTGGCTGCTGTTTGAGACAATAGTGGCATATCCTGCAGACCCTGTTTTTAAGACAGCAAGTATCTGGCTACAGGGCTGCTATCTGGATCGGTTTTGAGACGGCAGATCTGGCAGATATCTGGCCGGGTGAGTCGCTGATCCAGCAGGAGCTGAAGTGCCGTAGAGCTGGCGACTCGTGAGGTTTCAGACAGGGTGTGGCGAATGAGAGACGATGGTGCTATGTGAATTTCAGAGACCCCTATGGAGGAGGTGCGCGCGATGACTTGTGAAGCTGTGCTAAAGCTGTGTGTGTTCAGGTGACCGATTGTCCATATAGGTACGTAATATTTGTGAAGATTGTACATAGGATTCACTGTAACTTGGTGTTCTTCGAGATATTGCCCGAATATTTGTGAGGAAATATGTATATAGTTATTGTACATTGTGTCCAGCGAGATATTATAAACGTCGAGTTGCAGGAGCGAAACGATTTGAAGCGTAGATCTAAATCATGACCCTTTACGTTGGCGGTTAAAAGTTCATGGATCGGTCACCAGGATGATCTGTCTTAGTTTGTGCTGCCAATCCTGCGGCGAATTCAAAGTGTGTTCATACATACGGAGTCGAAATTTCCCGGAGTTGTCTGGCCGGATTACATTTACCAGTTGGTAGCTATGGCCCACGATTTGATTCAATGTTGGCATCAAGTACATTAGTGGTGAACTACCCATCCTCGCTGTTTGAAGCCCTGTGGCTGTCTGTGTCTGTGGAAAAATACATTGTTCGCTTGTGAAAACCTCAGAATGTTGGCTGGTAATGTCCTATATGCTCCCTAGAGATTACCACGGTCGCTTTCCTTCATGAATACTAATTGACCTACTGCTTTTCGGACAAGATGAGAGCTCCTTTGTTGTCGAAGGGCTGCTTGAGAAAGATATGCCGCACTTAGTCTGATGTTGATCGGTCTCTCCTGTGCCATATGCATTCCATTCATGCTCATGATTATTGCCTCCATACGGCCAGTGTTTCGTGGGTGATGCCTTTATTGGCTGACAGTTACGCCAGCATGGCTGAACATTTATAGCACAGACCATAGCATAGAGCATGGCAAGACAGCATAGAGCATAGCGAACATAGCGACTCCGGGATAACCACTCCGGGCAACACGCATCTTACAAAAATACATATAAATAACCGACCACAACACACCTCTGCGCCTGTCCATCCAAATCATTACACACAGGTTCCGAAGGATATATCGCAGATGACATGGACTGCGTTATTGGATCTCTCACCCATCCCGCGGTTAGGTCTGGTGCAATTCACAATTGGGAACGATTACTCCAATTAGACCTTTTAGGTCGCAATTCTCAACACGAACGCCGTTACGCGCACAAATCTGTCTTCTCTGCTGGTTAGCCGGAGACGTAATGAGAGTGATTGTCTTTTGTTGCAGGTTCATTCGAAACGATTGAGTCGACTTTGGAATATCAGTGATATAGGTTACAGAAACTTTGCCGAGTATCTCGATGTCCATGAATTGTGCGATTTGAAGTAAACAGTTAAGTAAGCGAACAGAAATGACAAATAAAGCAGACATAGGTTGACTGAGCAGCGACAGTGGCAGAGTAGCTGCATCTTCTAGCTTATAGAAGAACTTATTCTAACAGCAGCAAGTTACTATATGTCAGGGAGGCACTATCAGCAAGCAGCAATAACATCACTTGAAACACAGCTCTGAGAGCGGCAACTTATCTTAGAAATAAATAGTAAATACGAGCACAATATAGGCGAGCAGGCACCATCACAGTTGTCTATCCAGAGATCGTCTCCCTGGCAATAGGGACAGACACGTCAGCGGGTCTTCACTCGACTGCACCCGCCCGTCTTCACATCCCATATTCACGACTGTCGGTCCATCGGTCCTCTCCACCAATGGCACGACACACTCACAAATAAATAAAACTCGGTCGGTCCGATCACACAAAACACCCGGCCGGGTAGACGGCGTCGAGCACCGACCCGGAGGATCGTCTCCTCTCCAGCTCCTCGGCCGTCTGAGGCGCCGGCTCGCTCCTCTGGCTCTCAGTCCTCCTACCGTCCTCCCTCGCTGTGTCCTCGTCACTCAGCTCGGCGGCGGCGTTCACTTGACCCCTTTCCACGTCCTCGGAGCTGTTGACGATGGGCTGCTCGCCCTTCTGTCCGCCGGCTGACGAGCGCCGCCGCGCCGCGAAGAACTTGTGCTGGATCTCCTCCAGCGACAGACCACGAGTCTCAGGCAGAGCGAACGTGGCCAGCAACACCTGCAGCGCGTTCACTGCGGCAAACAGCCAGAAGGTGCCGTGGTTTCCCAGCCCCCGCTCCATCGCCGGGAAGAAGTGGACGGCACAGAACTGCACCAGGCTGAAGTAGAGGAGCACCATATTGATGGTGATGGCTCGCGTACTGTTGGGCAGCAGCTCGACCAGGTAGGTGAAGGAGACGGGCGCGATGCCGGCGCCGTAGGAGAGCACGGTGGCTAGTGCACCGGCGAGGACCAGCCAGGCGTGTTGGCCGCCACTGCTGCCGTCAGCGGCAGCTTGCCAGAAGTAGGCGCCGATTGCCGAACATCCGGCCAACCCGAGCAGGCCAGCGACCTGGCGACGGGAGGGGACTGTCAGATGGGGGGTCAACTGGTCAGAGAGTGAAGAGGGACGGTCAGAGGTAGAAGGGAGAGAGAGAGAGAGGGGGAGAGAGAGATACACACACAGAGAAAGAGGCGGAGAGAGGGAGAGAGAGAGAGAGAGAGAGAGAGAGAGAGAGAGAGCGAGAGAGAGAGACAGAGACAGAGACAGAGACAGAGACAGAGACAGAGACAGAGACAGAGACAGAGACAGAGACAGAGACAGAGACAGAGACAGAGACAGAGACAGAGACAGAGAGAGAGAGAGAGAGAGGGAGAGAGAGAGAGAGAGAGAGAGAGAGAGAGAGAGAGAGAGAGAGAGAGAGAGAGAGAGAGAGAGAGAGAGAGAGAGAGAGAGAGAGAGAGAGAGAGAGAGAGAGAGAGAGAGAGAGAGAGAGAGAGAGAGAGAGAGAGAGAGAGAGAGAGAGAGAGAGAGAGAGAGAGAGAGAGAGAGAGAGAGAGAGAGAGAGAGAGAGAGCTACCGGCAAAGGTCAAAGTTATGGGACGGGCTGGGAACTGCCAGAGGGCGGATCGGGGACTGTCACTAGTGTAGTGACTGGGTGAAGGTAATTAAATGGTGGGCAGAGACGGTCACGGTGACCCAGTGAACGGGACCAGGGAGGGAGAGGGTGCGGTCAGGGGGAGAGAAGGTTTGTCGGTGGTCCAGGAGAGCCAATGCAAAACGCAAGGTCAGATGGGGGATCGAGTCTAAAAGACAGCATGAGTCATGAGGACCAGGAATGATTTAGGAATGCTCTGTGCACGACCGTTGACCACGTGTCGTGCACGTGCTCCATTTTAGCATTATTCCGCATTATTGCTCTTGTAACTGTAAACAAAGCTATTGCTAGGTTTCATCGATGAAAAATTAACGTCCCAGTTATTTCTCCGGTTTGCATTAGTCATAAAGTAAGAACATTAACACGGTCAGATGGACGGTATAACAACGTGCACAAATGAAGATGAGCTATAAATGAGCTATAATTGAGCTGAAAGCTCAATATAATCTGGGTGAATCTTGATAACCGTGAGTCGGTTTCCGGTCTCACCTGGAGCAGCAGAACGCGACTGCAGCGCTCCAGCAGTGGCCCGGAGAGCAGGAACGCCAGCGACATGGCGGCCGTGACGTACACGGAGCTGTAGAACGGGTTCACGTCCTGGCCGGTCAGCTGGAACACGGTCGGCGCGAACTGAGCCACGCCCAGACCGCCAGAGAACACCATACAGAAGAACTGCACCAGCAGCAGCAGCGTCGGGTGCAGGTTCTCCCAGCGGCCAAACACCAGCCCCAGGCCGCGCAGAACCCCGGAGGACGGCTGATGCGCGTGCGCCAGAGAGCCCTCGATGTCCCGCACGCCCTGCTTGATGTCGAACTCGGGTCCGTGGAAGAAGCGGAGTGACTCCTCAGCTTCCTCTCGTGAGTGACCGTGCGCCAGCAGCCACTTGGGCGAGCGGGGCAGGAACAGCAGACCGCACGCCTGTACCACGGCTGCAGTGGTCTCCAGCGCAAACTCGATCGTGCGCCAGGGCAGTCGCGATCCCAGCCCCAGCACCACCACGATACAGACAGGTGTCACTGTGTTGAGGATGTTACCGATCAGTCCGCGCACCTCCCGGCCAGTCACCTCTCCGACATAGGCACGCGCCGGGCCCTCCACCACGCCAAAATAGAGTCCGACGAGCAGGCGGCCGGCCAGCGTCCAGGCGAACGTCGGTCCCAGTCCGACCATGGCAGCGCCTGTGAGGGCCAGCGGCAGCGCGGCCAGAAGAAGTCGAGGAGCGCCCACGCGCGGGGAGAGCCAGATGGATGCCAGCGTGCCCGGGATGTTGCCAAAGGTGAAGGAGGAGACGATCCAGGTGATCTGTGTGACGGAGAGCCTGCTGGCGTTGCTGCCGGCGGCGGGGGGCTCATCGTGCGCCAGGGCTGACGTCTCCTGGGCGAACAGGACGCTGCCGGAGCCGACGGCGCCGCCCAGGATGACGAACGTCTGCGCACAGATGAGGGCCGCAGCCAGCTGTCGGACAGAGATGGGATCGTGTCAGATGAGGGCCGCAGCCAGCTGTCGAACAGAGATGGGATAGTGTCAGATGAGGGCCGCAGCCAGCTGTCGGACAGAAAGAAAAGTATGTCACCTGAGTGCAGCAGCCAGTTGTCCGATAGAAACTACCTAACTTAATCCGACTACAAACTGTCAGATGGGACGTACCTCACGTACCGGCTATACCTACATGCCCCTGCAGATGAACATGTGGATTGTGGGCACATCAAAGACGTTGTCCATAACTGAGTTAACCGATTGGATTGAAAATTCATAGGATCACTCACAGACTTCTCTATGAAAAGTCTGTGTACAATTATGACAGGACAGACAGCAGCAGCGGTTATTGCCCACTCTCAGCGGTTATTTGCGGTGATTTATCAGCTAGTTAATCTTGCTAATACTTGCTAGTTAATCGGTCACGATTGCATGATTGATGGATTTCGGCAACGGGATGAGCTCAGGAGAAGGTTCGCTGCCTAAGCTGACGCGCTGGATTATTGTGTGATTATAACGTTACGAGACGGTAAAACGATCGTACCGAAACGGTGACTCTAAATTTTTGTCTATTATATTCTTAACGCTTTTGATCTAGGTATTTGGCCCTCCGGTAACGAGATAACGTCATATCGCTCACAAAAACCTTGAGATTAATGTCCTAGCATACCATAAAGGCATCTCTCCTCCGGCTAAGGACATTGTAAATCACATGTGATTAACCGCGCTCCAGTGCGGTAGTGCCACTGGGCGTGGCCTTCTGTCCGAGATGCCTTCTTCCTCCGGAGTTCCCCGCTGTGGTATCTGTGTCAGTGTAAACTGAGCTTGCCACCCTCCCCTCCCCCCAGGCACATACACAGAGAGGCCTCCATCCGACGCGGCCTTGCCGCCGCCGTATAAGACCGGACGTTATCCCATCAGAGCTCCAGTGCGACGGCCACTTTTCCTATTCCGTTGTGACGCCCGTTTTTATTGCAATTTGTCATCGATGACCGTCAAGGGGCCCGCCGACCACACCCCGCCGGAGGTCAGGAGTCACGGCGAGCCGGCGAGGTCGCGGCTCCGCGCCGCGGAAGTGTCGCAGAGGTCGCAGCTGGAGACGGACGCGCCGGTCCGGTCCCTAGACGCGGCCATCCATAACGGGAGAGGTGTGTCGGGTGGTCGTGCTCCGGTTCTGTCGCCCGTACAGACGCCAGACGGGACGGGAGTGGCCACAGACAAGGACACAGAGGATAAGAATAAAGAAGTAGGTACTGAGAAAGACGCCGGGCGGTGTCGCTACATGGAGGAGTGGAGCAAGACATCGGGCTCGTGTCCGTAACAGCTTGTGTGCCGATTATAAGACCACTCTTATGCTTGATCTTCTTGACATTTCAGATGTCTTGTGATTATACTTCAAGAGATGAAGGTGAACAGGCTTCATACGAGACCATAACGAGGAAATTAGGTACAGGAACAAGGTTCATAGGTAAAGGAGCGTTTTTCTTTTTTAGACGCCTCTACGATGAACTCACAACTCAATTATGTTTCACCGAAGTCCGAAGCTCTGACTGGTTCCCTTTCACACACCGCCAGTGATCACCCTTTCCAGAGGCTCTGTCAAGTTTTTATCGAGTGATCACCTGTCCCGCTCATTAGTGGCCGTGTGATGGACCAGGTGACCCATTTATGTCACATTTCACTCGCACGAGCGCACGCGACGATGTGTTGGAGCGCCCGCCGTTCGGCGAACGGGTCATGCCGTCTTCCGTCGGCCCAGTGAATGATGGAGCAACTGCGCAATATGATAGGCCGAACCTGAAGCCACGTCGGGCGGCCTATGTGGCAGGTGGAATACCTAGACGGACGGTATGGCCCAGCCATCGTTACAATGACCGTGACGTGCCGATGCGCCCGATACGAAACGGGAGCACATCAGATGTGTGTGACAGCATGTCGACAGGGAAAGGTCAGCGTGGTATGGTCACAAAAAGTGGGACATGGATGCCGTGTTTTATGAGCACACGGGATGGGAGTGATGAGTCGTGAAGTCGCTTCCCGAGGAGAATGTCTGGGCTAAGGTAAGAAGTTGTCTCGTCTTATATTTAATAGCGAAAAGTACTTGATCCAACATAATGTAGATTCTAGGTACTCACTAGTTCAACAACCATAAAGACGAACATGTAGGAAGAACAATAACATTAATTTCGCCCATCGAAAATACCACTAAAAAATCAAAATAATGTAATTTCCAAGTTCCAGCCAGACGACGGGCTTCGTTCAGTCTGAAAAAAAAAAAATCGTGGACAATGGTTATCGATTCATTGTTGCATTATGTATTACGTCAGCCCGTTATCTTACTCAATCCAGGCACCCCTCAGCGGGCGCGGCGCCGCCCCTCCCCTCCCCTCTCCTCCCCTCCCAGACAGCTGACGGGACCACCGCAGTCTGCCCGGGGGCACCATGCGTCAGCCGGGATCATGACCTTGACATCGGAGCCGCCCGGCCCGCACGCGCGTGGCTCGGCTAACCGCTAATGGAAATCGTGGTCGGATCCAAACGTGTTTCGAGCGTCAATGAAATGAGCTGGGTCACGAGGTAGATAATGAAGTGCGCATGGAAAGGTCAAGTCATCAAAAGATCGATCTTACGGGTTGATGTAGCTTGATCGTTTCAAGTGGACGAAATGTTATTATCTTGCATTGCGATGCGTTAGCGAATTGCATCATTTATCTGATCTCGTACCGTATATCGTACGAACAAAAATAACAGCAATAAAGAGATAATGATAACAATACCTAATGACAATAACAATAATAATCATAATAATAATCCTAATAACTTATTATTATTATTATTATAATTATTATGACCATTACTATAATAATAATAATAGTAAGAAGAAGAAGAAGAAGAAGGGGAAGAAGAAGCAGAGGCCCTGCCTGGCCTTAAATGCGGACTCCCGTCTCTCCCTCTCACTTCTTTGTAGAATGTAGATCCGCCAATGATCCAGCACCGTGATTGACCTTTACGATAAGAACTGAGGCTGAATTTCCGCGCCGGCCCCACCTCTGACTGGGTCATTCACATTGGACCGGCGCATTACATCAGCCTACTGACCGCACCGGTGCCGTGTTCTAGCGCCCCCGTGTGTGGACTGCTGCCTATGGAGCCCGGAGCCACTGGCCATTACGACCGATTACGACACGCGTGTCAGCGTATAGGGGCGCCGGTCCCAGTTTCACAATCGGCTCGGTCCGGCCCGCCAGGCAGTCTGGCCGGCCGGAGTCAGGGGGACCGGGGGACGGGGGCGGGGCGGGGCGGCGCGGTACCTAATGCGACTGGAGTGCTGACCGGGCTGGAACCGATCAAAACGGGGTGGTGCGTAAAGCCCTGCGAAAAGTGGGCGCCGGGAGGCTCATAGAACACTATAAAATTATGAATGCCTATAGCTTCACAGTACCGTAGGACCTATGTTTGGTGTAACTAGAAATAAGTCTGCTTATTCTAAGGTTGAAGCGATTAAGTCCCGAGTCCGTTTAAAAATTCTGCTTTATATCAATGATGTAACGACTTGACTGCAGCGACTGATGTTTAGAAAGGAAGTTAAATTCATGCATTAGGGGAAGTTGGGGGAACGCCGAAGACTTTTTTTCTGACGCCCGTAGCACGCAAGGTAGACAACATACGCTATTCTTGTTGGCGTCATTCGAGAGGCCAGTCTTTTGCCTTTCAAACATACCAGGCGCATTTGATGAATTCGCATACCGTTAAGCGCACAAACTAAAAATATTAAAGAAGTGACTTTTTCGGCGTTGCCCCGGACTGCGGGGAAAGCCGAAAATGGGAGAAATGATCTACGGGGAATGCCGACATTGATGTTTTGCCATTTTATCTCAAACTTTATCCAGAATTCATCAAAGCTGACACACGTTTCAAGAGCTTGAGGACGCGGTGCACACTGGAAGTTATAATTGTGTGATATAATAAGAAAATGCCAGGTAAATCATTCCTTATAGGTAACAGGCCGTTGTGTCGGTTGAAAGTGTAATTTGTGTGACTAAAAATACGCGTTGCTATTCTACAGCAGTAAAGTCCACGTAGCGTGCTTTTAACACGTGCGTAATCGCACGTTTTCGGCATTACCCCAGCCAGCCATACTTTCATTTGCAGGCCCATAACTTTTCAACGTGCTGTATAAATTTCAAATAGGCAGCACACTTATGCAAAGACATGCTAAAGATTACTTGACCGAATTGGCCAGACAAACGGTAGCATAATGAGTAAAAAATGCAGCTTCAAAGGCGCATGTAGTACAAGGGAAACGTACCTTGAAAACGCTCTTGGCGCCCTCACAGTCGAAGTATTCCGAATGACGACTCGTAACAAACATGCGATAATTGTAGTTACTTAAGCTTCAGAGCATCACTGACAGGTGGCATCCATGTTTTACGGTTTTCGAAATATCTCGAATTTCGGCTTTGCCCCAACTCCGGCATTGCCCCAACTTCCCCTACTCCAATTCGTTTACAACATGAAACATGCCTCATCCGTCTTCCGGCACCCATTAACACTGAACCTTACACTGAGCTGTACAATGACTCGCAAACAATGCACATTATAGCCTTGAAGTAACTTACGAAACATTCAAAGCTTTGCATGTCGCACAAAGGGACTGGTGTAAATGAAGTTTAATTGTTACATCTTGTTCACGAAGGGCAGCGTTAATATTCTCATAGCAGTGGGTTATGAATTATTATAGGAGTTAAGTCGGTTAAGCACGTTACTTGCTGACCCGTCCATCGAACATACCTGTTCATTCATCTTCAATCGTATCAGCGACTGGTCCATTGCACGTGTGCTTTATACGCCCGCCCGCATATTCGAGGTTAAATGCGGCAGTGAAGCTCACGCTACAGGCGTTACAAGACGTTTAGCAGAGTTGAGTTGGCCTTGTAATCAATTAATGCATGTTTTACCCTTGAAATGCCGTCGGACGG